CGGCTCAAGACTTGGCGTTTGACAATGCACCTGGGAGACGTCTGACGACGCCATGCCTCTGGCACCTCCTTTGTATCCAGTCTCACGAAGCTGCATGTCGTGGCATGCTCCAATGAGGTGCTTATCTCCTGGCTTTTCGCCGATGCCTTGGGGGACCCTATAGTCAAGCTGAAACTTCGTTCTCTTTCACTTCCTGATATCCTACCCACGAGGCTGGCAATATTGATCGTCTTGTCTCTTCGACGAGTTCTTCCTTGGAGCACTTGGACGTTGGGTTCATGGGCCATAGCACTGATGATGCACCCGTGATCTTGAGTAGGTCCGCTTACTTCCGAGCCAAGTACCTGCTGCTGACTGTATGTCAGAACTGGCCGAGAAAAATCGATCTATCTCCTCATACCCAACTTTGCTCTCTCCACGTTCACCAAATTGTTCTCTATCAGTTCCAGGCACTCCTCCGCACAGCTCCCAGTCCCTCCCGCCGTCAATTTGCCCACGACATGGCTCGCCTCCTTGCTGTCCACGATCCGCTCCGCCCACTTTTCTCGGCTTACTCTCAGCATCTGGCTGGGCGAAGAACGACAGCTTGATTCTCTGGATTGGGACGGCTTTGTCCGAATCGTGTCGAACGAGCGCTTTGCAAGTCTGACGCAAGTCGAATTTCGAGTCCGCGGGCTTGGCAAAGCGATGAACGACGTCGTGAAGGGATGGATCTCTGACAGGATGAGCGGGTGGGCCCGTGTGACTGAATGTCTCCAGATCACCTTTGGATGATCAATCTTTCGCGCTTCGGACGCTTGAAGGCTTGCCCTTATAACTGACTGCCTTATTCTCGCTGAAACTATCACGACCACTCTCTGCATTGACTGTATCTGTGACAACATATCCATTGTATCCCTAGCTTTAGATAAACTATATTGTATCAATATAACGAAACAGGGCTGGCGAGCAGCTCTATACGTTACAAGACATGGCCATCGCCAAAGGTCGCGTAGGAACGAGAATACAGGGTGCTTATCTATCTTGCTCTGATGTCTGCATTCGAGGATTCCCTCGCAACATCATTATTGCAGCATCCTTTACGTGTAGGGTAACTCGAGGCCTGGCTCGTTGCGTAAATTGTCGGCCCAAAGACACGCTTAGACCGACACAGTAACATTGCTTCCGAGGATCGAAGGTCGTGTGTCCTCGCATCACTGTGATGGAGAATTATAATAACGAGCTGTCACAACGTCGTCACGGAAATATCGCCACGTACACCCCGCCGCCATGTCTTCTCGCATTAGCATTGCCCGCCCACAGTCGAGCAGCTACAATTCTGACCCTCACGGGCTTTCAAATTCTCGCTCGTCCTCGACTGGCTACCGCTCAGCCAACCCGGACGACCCTTTGGAGAAGCTCAAGGCACAGGCTCGACAGGTCGAGGATTATGTCGAGATCTACTCCCAGCCCTTGAAGCCCCACCTTCCCACCATTGGGCGGTTCCTCATTGTTGTTACGTTCCTTGAAGACGCGCTGCGTATCTTGACGCAGTGGGGAGACCAAATCTGGTATTTGCAGCAGTACGTTCCCGCTCGACGCCGCGCCCTTTTCTTTTCCTCGTGTCTCATTCGCGTTTCAGACACCGAAAATTCCCCTGGGGCATCTCGCACATCTTCTTGTTAATCAACGTCTTCGTACGTGTCCATTTGGTCCAGTGATTCCAACCTGCTCAAGGCGTTGACAGACCATGCTCGGCGCGTCGTCCATGATCATCCTCAAGCGCTTCACGGAATTCGCGGCTGCTGGTCTTCTCGGCGTTGTCATCATCCAGGGCTTTGGCTACGGTCTCATTTTCGACCTGAACTTCTTCCTCCGCAACCTGAGTGTCATCGGCGGGCTTTCATGGTCTTCAGTGACTCCATCGTCAACCGCAAGAAGACCTTTGCTGGCATCCCCAGTATCAGCGAGACGGACCGCAGGAAATAGTGCGTCCGGCTGCTCTCGTGCTTGCTCTGACAACTGATGCCGAGCAATGACCACGTAGTTTCCTTCTCGCCGGCCGTGTCCTGCTGATCTTCCTTTTCCTCGGCTTCATCATCCAAGGCACCTGGAGCATTGCGCGTGTGTTCGTGTCGCTTTTCGGTCTCGCGGCATGCATAATGGTGGCTGTCGGCTTCAAGGCCAAATGGTCTGCCGCGTTCTTGGTGGTCGTTCTGAGCATCTTCAATGTTTTCGCCAACAACTGGTGGTCCGTTCACTCAAAGCACCCCAGCGGGACTTCCTCAAGTATGTGTCACTCTTGTCCCACCCTCCGGATCTTGCGCTAACCGTCCCGAAGATACGACTTCTTCCAGACATTGTGTACGTGGCACTTTCACCCACTATGACAAACTGCTGACTCATCTGCAGCCATCGTTGGCGGTCTCATTCTTCTGGTCAACATGGGCCCGGGTGGTCTCTCAGTAGACGAGAAGAAAAGACTTACTAAGTGGTATGGCGAGAGGTCTGCGACATGGCGTGCGCAATATACACATGTGGTTCGGTGGCTACACAGCATGCAAAATGAGGCAGACGCGATTTGACAGTGGCCTGTTTCTATTTATCTTACATTCGCAACGGGGGAATACGAGTGATTACAAAATGACACGGCCTGTTCAGAGACCCCGGGTAATGTAATATTGAGAGGGGCGAATAGTGAAGAGTACAGAACATCTAGGCGATTACTTGGTCCGATCTAACAAAGCGCCGCCCATCATGAAGGGGTAGTCGGAAGGACTGTATTGAAGACCACATCCCAAAACTTGCCTATCAAACCGGTCAGCCGCGTAGGCACACGTAGCTCGAGGGGGGACGTACTAGTGACACCAAATCCGAGCTCGAAGTTCTTGTAATGATGAGCAAGGTGATACCGCTTTTGCTCCTGTATGTACGCAGGGAGATTGGTATGGTGCAATGCGTAGTGCATCACGTCGTATAAGATGTCTAGGGGGACGAGCAGTCAGCTCAATCGCAACGGTATCCCCACAAAAACAACGTACAAAACGCGAAGGCTCCTGAGATGATCCCGTTCGCTACAGCGGCGGGGAACAGGATGTGAGCGAGGCGCGTGAACGGGGCCTGCAGCACGGTGAACAGGAGCGGAGGCATGACAAGCCGCAACCTGCGAAAAAGACAATCAGTGTCGAGCTCCGCGGGAGCAATTACAGTGCATTACCGATCCATCGGGAGGTAGTGGTGGACTCCGTGCAACAGGAAATGCAGCAGGATGGCGACGGGGTGGTCGGGAAGATAGTCGTCGAGATGGAAAAGGAAGCGGTGCAGGACATACTCGAGGATCGTCCAGATGAAGTTGCCCAGGAAGAAGCAAACGCCTGTCTTGCCGATATTCTGCACAGTGAGTGCGTTCAACAGTAGATTCGACGGCAGGAGCGGCTGCACGGTGAACAGCGGGAGAACAGCGGGTGCGACGGAGAATTGGATCAGGGAGCGACAGAAAAGGTACGATGCGATGGGACCCCAGAACATGGGCACCACCCACCAAACTGTGCGGGTGAATCCCTGTGAGAGGAAGTCAGTGGCTTGATTTACGACGAGAAATGGAGTGTCCCACCTCGAGGAAGGAGGGGCCGAAGAGACGAGCAGACTCGTGAAGGTGCCGAGGCTGATGCACTTGCTGCAGATAGTAGGATTTACTAGAGGATGGAACATTTAGCGACGACTACTCCACTGGGATAGGGAAGCGACGCACCTAAAGTTAGCCTCCCACACTTGGCGTAACAGCGGCTTCCTGAGATCCAAAAACTGGTTCTTTTGAAAGTCCTCAGCGAAATCCGTTTCTTCCGGATGGAAATCATCGCCGGCAACGAAGTCTGGCATGGGTCATGAGTTTTCAAGACTGATGAGAGAAAAACATTGATGACGCACCGTCGCGCAGTGTCGTCTCATGCGTCCCAAGCCGTCCAATGAGGTAGTCTTCGAGCATTTCATACGCTGCAGAGGAGTGCTGTGGGGTGTCCTCTGCCTTGCCTGACATCGCCGCCTCGATATCCTGGCCGGCATATTTGAGAAGGATGTCGTCGCCTCCTGGGTGGTCGTCGACGAATTTTGAAACGTCGTAGACCTTGCCTTGGCGGGTCACCCAGCAGCTTGACCGGGTCTTGTGCGCGACAACATCTTCGTCGGCGTAGATACGAGTGCGTCTCTTTGACATGGCTGCGTCTTTCCAAGCACAAGAAATCTCATGATCCCATATAATGTACGCGTTACCATCACACTGATGTCACATCCCCGTGCTTCTCCGGGGTCCGGATCATCCCGCCGCGGGCATTTGCGCTCGGGACTGGAGCTGGACTGGTCTTTGGCTGTGCATGGGGCCGGTCCAGAGGTTCCCCGGCCGACTTTACTGGTTCATTAGTCATCTGGACATCCGCCCGGGATGATCTAAGGCCGAGGTCTACGACTTGGAGTCTGGCACAGCGAACGGCAGATCAAGGCGCTCCCAGGCCATCAATCAGCCCCGGGCGGAGTGTGATTGTGGGCGTCACTGCCACGGAGGGTTCGAACTTCGAACTCCCGCACTTCAATCATCGGTGTTCCCATCCATCTATTCTCGCGTGGCTGCCCATTCACATGGCATCCCAAGAAAATTACAAGTTCTAGCAAGTCAATCAACTCTCCAGAGTCAAACAGCGGTATTTATTGTCCCAGCGGCATTCTGAATGTCTCTCCTGTAGCCACAGAAGCCGAGATCCATGAGCGACACAGGGCGTTGTCGCTGATGTTCCATCCTGACAGGCATCCCGACGAAAGCCATAAAGCGGTAGCTACGCAAAATTTTCTTGAAGTTCAACGCGCATTTGAAGGTGCGGGTGCGCGGGCGTGACATGGGTCGGCGGTGGACTGATTTCATATCCCCCTCACCAGTGTTGTCTGATCCGTTCCTTCGGTTGGTTTCGCTCTGAATTCTCACTGTCATACAACAGTCGGCTTATGGACTCACTGGAAGCGCTGTCTACGATGCGTTGGGTACAGGTTGTCTAAATCATCCTTCGCCGTTAATTCCGCTTGCTCTTAGGTGAACGCGGTCTTTCGGCTAATTGGCTGGAAGAAACTAGGACCAGATCCATCGAGCAGGTCAGCAAGTAATCAAGATTGTTCTCTTCGCCCACAGCTGACGGGCGCCCTTGTCCAGCGAGATGTCATCTTCAAACAATTCCAGCGCGACTCGCTGCAGCATGACGCAGAGAGCGCCATTTCTCCGAGGGCCGAGTCGTTTGCAATCTGGATGCGTCCGGATTGCTGGAAGGCGGGGATGTGTCTGATACCGCCCGCGGACAACAAGTCCGACTACTGAACTTTTCTGTGCATCATCATGTCAGTGTAAGTGGGCGACTGGATTCTTCAGAGTCATGCTGGCGTCTCGCACTGAAATGCGGTTGAACTAGAAAAGGATAAGTGAAAAGTCAACTCTTGGATTGGCTGTCCGCATCGCTCGGGCTGGTGCTTCGGGTCGAGGTAACTTTGTTGGCACGCTTCGACATCAGTATTCGCCACGGCTGCTCCTTCAAGTGAGTCCAATCACTAATCTCCCTGGCCGCCCCCCGATTTTCCTCGTCATCTGAAGGCTTCAGTCAATGTCCTCTCGCCTCGCAAAGTCACTCTTAAATCGCAGTACGAGTCCGAGCACGGCCGCATCTCGCTCGAGACGTCGATTAGGGGCGGGGATCTGTCGCAGCGCCCGCCCGTGCTCGTCTCTGTCCAGCGCGCGTTCTCGCGCTCCTCGTTGGGCTCGCTGGACATCGGATTCGATTCCCGTTATCCGCAGGTGACGATCGGTGTGCACCCTATCCAGCGTGCTTCTCCAGCATCGGCACATGAAAATCGCGCGCTGATTTCGTGGTGCTATGGGCTCAATCTAAATTCTTACGACCCCACCGTCTTTGGCGAACTCATCGCGTCTCTGGCGGATCTGTGCATCCAGAGCAGGCTTCGCCTGGAGTACGGATTCTTCGGTCCTACGTGGGTATTTTCCGCCGCTTGGCAAAGCCAGGCGGCGAGCATTTCTGCTTTGATGAAATTGAGCGACGAGGGGGTCGGATTTACCCTCGAGTGAGTTTGTATCCTCTCCAACGGGCTCGTGATTGGGGGCTGATCAGCCACGAGCTCGAGCTATCACGAACAGCGCCTGAGCATACCCATCCGCCTCTGCCATCAGTACAACGAGGCCGTCGCTCTGTGGACTGCCGTGATCCCCGTTGCCGCCTGTTTGTGCGCGTATGTTCTCAAATCGAGGACGGTGCGCCGCCTGCGAGAGCTGTGCGCGTCCATTCCCTAAAGTTTCCCACGCGCATTTTCATTGTGCTTTGGCAGCGAAATCCGACGGGCTCTCGAAGCACTGGAGCCTGATTCTCCGTCTCGACGGCATGCCGAAGAGTTGATTTCGGTATTCTTATCTCCCAAAGCTCAAGAGTCTGCACGACGCGAGCAGGCATCAGGTGGTTCGTCCTCGGAAGTGATTGGGACCTGATTCTGAGCCACCATCAGGCCTTATTGTCCTGGAAGCAACGTACGGGGCTCTGGACTGCCATGACAGAGATCGTGGTTTGTCGTGGGATATCACTATCCCGCTGCAGACCCTGGTCCGGCGTTCCCAATTGTACATTCCAGGTCGACATCCCAAGGCAAGCTGATGAACAGTATCCCCTTTCCGGTAAGAATCAATCACTAACTACTCGCAGAGCTCTATTATCGGTTTTCTCGATCCTGCCCCGTTCGCGACAAAGTCTATCCGCGTCCGGTATCTTTTCCGAGATCGACCGCATTTCACAGAAGTTCCTGAGCATCTGAATCTGGTCTTACCCTTGCCAGGTCAGTCCAAACTCTGCGCGGCAGCTGCAATGGTTAGCTGATGTATTGTTGGTGACATATCAGATCATGCCCTGTGAAGGAACATTATTCCTACGATCCTGTGAAATCCACCCCGCAATCTGTCAATGAAAGATATAGCCTCCATAATTCTCGTGGTTCTCGGATCAGGCAGTGACTGTTCACGCGGCGTCCATCTTGCGCGCCTGCGCGTGATTTCCAGACAACGCGGGGTTAGCCCGAGAGCCCGCTCAGCTTCTCTTCATTGGTTGGCTTTTAGCCGATCGGATTCTCATTTGCTGAGGGTCGATCACCGCCAAACCGGCCTGTGTCCCTCGGCGCCCGATTTCATCTTCGATGATTCGATGAAGCGGGTCGCTGAAAGACTTCATTAGACCATGATCTACGGCATACATGCAGCTCCAGTGCATGCTCGCGAAAGTCTTCTATATCCTTCTTGAAGGACGATTTGTTTGCGGATAACTCAAATCAAACTTTAAATAAATAATCGTCCAGTTGCGCTGCGCTTCGACCCTCCTAGGGTGCTCACGCACGGTATTTAACCTCCCCTCGCTCGCACCATCCATCTATCTACGTATTAGCCACTGCACCCACCCTCCCTCCCCGGCCATTCCACGAGTCCTTGTTAACCATGCAGCAGCCGACTCTGCGCAATGTGCGGATCCGCAGCACACGAGATGCCCTCGCTGTGTTCTACGCGGTCGCGCGCAGCACGCTACCCCTGATCACCCGTCGCCTGGACGCGGAGGAGCGGCTCGCCATCGCAGCGGGGACGGTCTTCGTCTGGGAGGAGAACGCGAATTCCGAGGCGACCGGGCTCGGGATGGAGCGCTGGTGAGTCCCGGTGACAGACAGGCTTCTCCTGTTGTGCGGCATGATATTGAACGAGGCCGAATTCCCGCTCTTCTAGGACCGATGGGATGGGCTGGGGTCCGAGCCGTGAGTTGCCTCCCATCATTCCCGCGCGTGGTGCCCCCTCACGTCAAGCCATCTCGCAGGCGTCCGCGATGTGCGGTTCACCGTATTTCCCTTCCATTTCCAACTGAGGCACGTGTCCAGGAGTTCCTGTTCTACCATCAAAAGGACTGCGATGCCGTCGACGAGCCGATCAATCCGATGACCCCCTGGGCGCAGATGATGAGGTGAGCACGGCCCGCCCGCTTGTGCTGTCCGAGCCCGCCTCACTGCTCGAGTCCAGGAAACGGTCTGCGCGCGGGGCAGCGGCGTGCGGCGTTTCCCGGAAACTGCAGCGACTGCACAAACAAACATACAGCGTGATTGTAACACTGCCGAAGGATCGACCATGCGGGATGGTGCGCAAGTGGCATTTGAGTGAGCCTCCCACCCCTGCTTCCGAGTCACCTCGCTCCGCGAGGCACGATCACCGGCTGACTGACTCTACTTCCCCCAGCGGCCTACTTCAATCAAGAAACCTTAAATGAGCTAGATACCATTGACGATTTACGATACCTCGACATGCCGGTTCCTGATGGCTGGTTCAGGAGCGCGCGTGCTACGAAGACTCGCCGCGAGAATCGGGCATTGGGAGGAGGCATTGACCAGCAGCAGCAGCATAACCGTCCGTCCGAGCCCGGCCGGGTGAGCTCTCCCACGTCCCCACTGGCAGCGGGCTGTGATATGATGGCAACGTTCAACCCTGTCCCGGCGGCACAGACAAGGTTCCGCGGGACCCTCAGAGCGGTGTTCCCCAGCAGCAGCGGCAGCCCCAAGCTCCTGCTACCCCTCCCACCCTCGTCTCCGAAACGCGCGGCTTTCATGATGTCCTCAGGGCTCGTACCCCTAGAATATCTCCAAAAACATTCCCAGCGAAATCGAAGAAATCCGACTGACGAGCAGCTCCTTCGGCGGTTTGCCGCTGGAGTTTATTAACGAGATTTTTATTCTTTTCTTTCTCTCCCTCAGGCGCCGAGAGAGAAATAGCCTCTCCAGTTCTCACGGACCCACGGAGCGCGAAGGGTCATGTGCGAGAGGTTAAACCATGATCAAGCTTTTCGAACCCCTAGTAGATCCAAATACCCTGTAAAAAGACTCGCAAACATATACCACACCCTATAGGCTCGAGATAGCGCCTTTCGGAACGGGGGTTGAACATCATCACGTGATCGCGTGCAACTCGGAGAAGGCTCGCCGTGCTGTGAATGAGCTTCGAGCACAAGTCAAACTCCAAGTCAATCGCATGCATGCTTCTTGGCAGATCCGTGTGGGGCCTCCGAGGAGCGCGCGGCTCGCTCCCGTCGGTCGCAGGAAAAAACACTCGTCATATTATCCTACTAATTACTTAGTCTGCGTAAGTGCAAAAATAGTCCGAGTGATTACATATTAGTTGCACAGCCTCATACTGGAGATACGGAGGCGACCTAAGCCATCAAGTCAACCATGATAGTGACGATGCCCAGCACTTGATAGGTACCGAGTCAGTCGGCTGCACCAGCTCAAGCTCAGTCACATACCGACTTCAATCGCGATCAGCGCAATCACGATTTCTTCCAGCCGCTCGGAATGCCGACTCGAAACAGACTCCTTCAGCAGATCTAGCAGATCTTGGAGAACCTAGAAATTCGTCAAAATAGGAAGCAACATCAAGCCCAGACAGATACTGACTTCGACCCGAGTATTCAGCAGGTTGATTCGCTGAGGTATCTCTAGATAGCTCCTCGCAGCCTCGTACAAGGGCTGCAGGTCGGGAAAACTCTGTCGATGTGCTCACGTAAGCCTATCATCGCAACAAACACATCTGGAGATGAATCATACCCAAAAGACTTCCTGAGCACTAGTCAATGACAGTCCATGTGAAGCGAGGAGAAAAGTACCGGTGAGTCCAGGACGGATCCGACAGTGTTGATGTTGGTCCTCAACAAAAACAGCTGTCCAATTTTCTGCATGATTTCTGCCAGAGATCAGACAATCATCCAAGTGAGGCCTGGAATGCAACCCACCTTTGTGAGGCATGCCAACTTTGCCGCTGGTAGCTATTATCTCAGGTATATCCTTCGTCTCTTCGATATTAGATGATATAAGCTGTTCAAACTGAGATAGTGCATGAGTAGGCATCCGGCAGGGAGAAAAGAGACGCACTAGAGATATCTTGACAGACTGCGCCAACGCATGAGACAGCGAAAGCTTCGTCCTGCCCAACATGTCAGACGCAATGGAGAGATTGTCAATCCCACGGACTGACATATAGCTGGAGCCCTTTCTAAGCGTGATCACGTCGTTGTAGATACTGCAGGGTGTCAAGCGTAATCCAGAAATGGGGGCACGAATGAGCTGACCGACTGTAGTTCGCGTAATAGAAGTTCAAGTCCTCCATTTCTATCGCGTCCGCAGCTGCAGACCTCGTCAGTCGGCTCACCCAGATGTCTTGCCTGCCAAGTACGCACGAAGCCGCTCATTCTCGAATCGCTTGCTACAGAGTCTGTCAGTCCACGCCAGACTTGACAACACACGGATGACGTACATCGAGGACAAGAAACGTCTCTCTTGCGCCTCTGTCATCCCCCAGATCACGACTGTCCCGTACTCGAAGAGGAATATCTCGGCTTCCGCCGTCGTAGTATCGAACTTGCTCCGTTTTCTACTCGGTTCCTGCGACTCTTCATCCTCTTGATGCAGCTCGGGGATCCCGAGCAAGTCGCCGGTCTGCGACTGAGCCTTCGGAGGAGGAGATGACCCCATCAGAGTAGAGCTACGGTCGCTGGCAGTCGACGGTCTGTACATGTAAGGCGTGTATATGCATTCGTCGATGACCTTCGCGTTCGTGCTGTACGCGGTCCTTCTCGCATTCAAGAACTGACGAGAGGTTTGATAAAAGTGATGCACCCAAGTGTAGGAACACGCACCTCTAGTAATGGCTTCATGCGATACGAACTAGTGACATCATCGACTTAGGACGGAGACCAAAATGCACCACACACACCTGGCTGTCGAGTACGCGGTGACTCTGGGGAGCGACTTGGCCTTTGCCTTCGTCAGCTTACGCGCATCTCTTTTGGCCGTCCCGTCCGGGATGAGGGATAGCTGGTTGTAGACCTAGGCGACAAGCGAAGTAAGGTGATGATATGTCTCTAGCCGCTCGGATCGTACCTCGGGCTCGTCGTCGTCTTCGACGTCAGCTTCATCAGAGTCCCCGGTGGTCCCCGTGCTTCCATCTGCCTCTGCAATTTCCTTGAGGCCTACTGGGCCAACGGCGTCTAGCGTGCGGTTGGCAACCTCGTCTGGTTGCTCAGGGAGCACCTTGAGCTTTCCCGCTGCCTTGGTTGATCGGTTTGCCCCGCGTGGCTTGGCTTCTTGTGCCGTCAGAGCAGAGGACATATTCAGAGCGCGCCGAGAGGGGTAAGGAAGTTGTGTGGGGGCAGGCCCGGGAGAGTTTTGGCAACTTGCAAGCAAGCGATTCAAATTCGCTTCCGAATTAGGATGGTGAGCTTATTAGCAAGTGTGTGACAGTTGTGACGGACAAATGTCTTTTCCTGGACTCTCTCCCATCCTCCGCCGCACGCTGCTCGCGGCGCAACCTGCTTTCAGGTCGCGCGCCTACGCGTCAAAACTTGCGCCTGCCAAAGCATCGAACCGTGCGTGTCTCCCTCTCCAACGCGGATCCGAGTTTTGACTGCCGTCCTCAACCACCAGCCAACGCTCCTTCGTCTTGCACGCCGGACACCGTATTAGTTGGGGTGAACTACCTGAAGGGACAGGCACCCGTCCTCGCGAAGCCCGACGAAGAGTATCCCGACTGGTTGTGGAACGTGCTGAAGCCGCGGGTGTGGCCAGAGGATGGGCCTGGCGGACGGGCAGAGCGGGCGGAACGCAGGAAAGAAAACAAGCGCAGGATCAGGGATGCGAACTTCATGTCCACGCAATAGACGCGTTAGTGCGAGGCTCCCGTCATTCCCCCGTTCGTCCATTGCTTCATTTATGTATGTGTAGTGCCATCCATCACCACGCTGCCAACCCAATGCGTCCGTAATGCATTATGTTCCACCCCCGTCGAATCGCCGACGACGTCGTGGCCACGGTCTACACGGCAAGCTCCTCGCTGTTACGTTGAGCGTGCGGTGGTCGTACGTGCATAGGACCATACCTTGTATTATAGCATAGTCCTCCACTTATTTTGGGTCGCGCACGATCTGCTCATCAATTACAATATATGAGTCTTGACTTCATTCTACAAGGCTTCATTGCGTAGAACCGTCTGACTTCTCTCTCGTATTGTGTGTTTGTGAACGCCAAGTTCTCGAGATATCCGAAATTGAGTGATCTGCGGCTGCTGTGGCTGTTGTTGCACTTCACTTCCGACATCCATCCCATCTTCTACCGCAGCCCCGCGCGTTTCCCACGCGGCTGGTACCGCTGTTCCGCCTCCCCCGCTCTTCCCTCGTACTGCGCGACCCTTGATGCCGAAACTGAATTTCAATACCGATGAAGCTTCGCTTCTGAAAGCATACAAGATTTCTACGCTCTACCCCACGTACATATACACTTGGCTCACCTCCGGCATGCGGCCCTCCTGATAGCAGAAACAGGAAATGGGAGGAAGTGGACCACGAGCTGGAGAACTCCATCGCGGGTGCGTTGGCCAGCAATGCCAACGGAGAGGGCGAGGGTGACCCGCTGGGTCTGGGGGCTACCGTCAAGTACGTCCATGTCGCCGCCAACGCGCTGCTTTCCTTCATCATTCTCGGGCCTGGATCGCTCACCTCCGCGCAGCGTCAGAGATATGGACATGGAGTCCAGTGCGTCAGAATGCTACTCTGAAATGTTGCAACAGCACTGAAACACGGCGGCGCGCTGGTTTAAAGAGGCGGCAGTTCTGATCACGTCGAAGTCGTTCGATCCTAAAGCGTTCCTGTCCGCTATCCACCCAAACGCAAAGTACCAAGATCTGGCCAACGGGATATCACATCTCCAGGCTTCCATCGACTCGCGCTCCGAAGCGATCCGGATTCTGGTGGAAGACAACTTCGATAGATTCGTGGCGGTCAAGGCTTCGACAGATGGTGCGCACACGAGCTGCACCGCCAGACCGCGTCGGGACTACTGATCCATCGGTTTTAGCTCTCTACTCGGAGATGAAGGAGGGTCTGCTCGCCCCGCAGACCAACTACGGATCGGTTCCGCTGCGTGATCACCTCAAAGGCATACTCCTCCACTTTCACCTTTCAGCAACCCGTGTCCTAATTCGCGCCTTTAACAGCCGCTGCTGTGAAAGCAGATCAAGTCTTCTTGCCGGGATTGGAGAATGCCTCCAAGGCCCATAAGCTGCGAACGACATTGAACATATTCGAGCGCTCAAAGTCATTCTTCAATCTTCCTGGATTCATCATTGAGTCCATCGAAGCCGTTAGTCTTCCTTTCGATTGCATCAAAAAGCTGAGCTGAACGCTTGCGCAGGGCCGATATGAGCTGGCGATGCGCGAGTATAAGAAGGGAAAACTGCTTCTAGAGACCCGGCCGGGCCAACTTCTTCCCATTAATCCTTCGAAGGATGGGCAAGTGTCGATTGCCGACGAACAGCAGCAGAAACGCGTCCTGGATAAAGTCTGGGGCAGCGTCGAGAAGGCCATGGGTGAAATGCGGAACGTGCTGCTCGCTCAGCTCCAGGATCCTGCACGCAGCGTGGAGGAGCACGAGAAGACGCTAGAGTGGGTGGCGATGTGCCGCGGCGAATGTTTGTGCTTACATGTCGCGTTCAAGGATCCTCATGGAGGTACAAATGGTTGAGGACCCGGCTTGGACCTACTTCGATGCCCAACACGCGCATGTTATCAAGCAAATGAATGTCGCGTACAAGTCTTCCGTGGCTGCCGTCGAAGGTGAACAGCATTTCACGGCTTCGAGGATGACGCAGGAAGCGTACTCATGATCATCCACTCCTTGCAGCTACATTAGAGCAAACAGAGCCGGACGTGGCCGGACAAGATACTTTGACTGGTATCTTGGTGGCTCAGCTTCAAGTTGCCATCGCAGCACTAGATAATAAACAGTCAGAGGAAGCGGTCGGTGCGTGCTTTATGATGCATCGCTGAGCTCGCACTCAATCAATGTTCGCAGCCAAGTCTGCCGCCGAGCCAGCTTGGAACAGGATCTCCGAGTTGGTCAAGGTATTGTCCGAGATTGTGATCACATCTCTGCCCGGCTTCTGGCGGATATCCAAAAGCTTCATAGAAGGCAAATATAAGAAGGTATGCGCGGTGATGCACATTCATATCTTTCTGTCTGACACACCGGCAGCCCCAGTCGAGCTCGCGCAGAAGCCCGACGCAGTGCCGAACGATGGCATTAGACATCATCAAGTTATATATATCCCTGCTCTCGCAGTTCTTCACGTTGTCCGACATGGCGGTAATGATGTCCCCCAATGGATCGACGAAATCGCCGACGCTGCCTTCCAACTCCAACTCCCTGTGCACCGCACACTATCTGACGAAGATTCTCGGCGAGATCCAAGATACTGTAAACGAGATAAATGGGATGGAAATCGCCAGTGATTCTGAGTCGGGACTGAAGAGTTTACTTGAGACCGCTAAGTGGAGGTTCGAGGATCTGCTGATATCGGCCTGGCTGCGAGGTGCGTTTCTCGAGCCGCCTGTCTCTGCTTCGAGCTGACGACCATTGCAGACGCGAATCTTTTGTATTACCTCGAGGAGTGGATCGCCAGCCCTAACGATCCGTCTGCCACACACTACCTGACCCAGATGGAACTCTTCCAGCGGCAGGTCACAACTGCAGCCTTCAAACTTGCGGGCGGTGTAGACCTCGCGTCGACTACGCTATCCAAGCCGGCTCGGCAGCACCCGATTCCTGGTGCTTTCACGACCAAGATTACCAAGGCGTTTATAGACGCGCTGTATGCTTTTATGGATGGCTTGGTCCATCTTGCGTCTGAAGAGTCGCCTGTCGTGAAAGGCAAGATCCCGCACACGGATGCAGCTGGCGGCCCGGGTGGAACGAACCCCCTCGAGCTGTTGGATCTGATGGATGGGGACACTCGCCTGCTGTTAGTCATCTCTAACCTCGGACATCTTGGGAATGCGATATTGCCGAGCATGATCACGCAGCTGGAATCCGCATTCGGGATCACGATTGCTGAGGACCGACAGGTGCGCGCGGCAATTCCCCCCATCTTTCTATCAGACTCAGGTGTTCTGTTCAGACGTTGATGAGGGTCGTGCAAGAGCTGGACAGGACACTTTCCGATGGATATACGAAGCCCAAGGTCGAGAATGTAACTACGATCATCAGGAATGGCATCCTCGACCCGCAGATGGACTGGTACGAGACCCCGCAGCCGACTGGTGCGTCCATCTGCTTGCCACAGATGCTGGACATGCCGCTGACGATGTGCAGAAATACGACCCTACATGTACGAAGCGTTGATATTTCTAGTCAGCGTCCATGCGCAGGTGTCCGGTATCTCGGAGGGGCTGCTCACGCGCATCCTCACGATGCTCGTCGAAGCATTGGCTGCGCAGGCCTTCGTTTCGTTCAAAGAGGTTCCGCGGTTCGGGATGGGGGGAATGCTGCGGGCCACGCTCGAGATTGAGTTCATGCACCAGACGTTGGGGCGTTACGTCAGTCCTGCTGCAGCCAAGCAGCTGGGCGAGCTGTACACCAATATCTCCAAGGCTTATTCGAAGAGACCGGGCGACGAGGGGCTGCAAGGCAGTTTGGACGGCGTGAAGCGCACTTTATCTGATACCCGCAGGGCCACTGGGATCGAGTTTCTGTGCTTCAGAGCGACCAAACCTGCCAAGAAGAAGGAAAAATGATCCCTGTATAGTATTATTGTCTGTGTCGATACCCGAGCTACGTCCATGTGTGTTCTTGACTCAGATATGGACGAGCCATGAAACGGACGTTGTCTCGTTGCAACTTGGCCTTCGGCTGAGTCCAGGAATCCACCCAAGCCGTAAAGACGAAAGATGCGGTTCTATTTATCGTAAATCAGCTCATCCGTCAGCATAAGCTCCGGGCTATGTTGTCAGATGATCCTGCAGCCATCGAACAGGTTGGGTCTTTCGTCCGTTCAGCATTCTGCTGGAAGCCACTGTGCTCCAGAGATGGCATGCTCATCGTAAGGTAGCTCGAGGCAGCTTTCCACGCATATAAATTTATCCAAAAATGGCTCCATGTTTGTGTCAGAATTCGAGGCCCCGCGGCAGTAGATCCATCGTGCACTCCACGGTAACAAAAGTGCATGACCTAATCGCAAAGACCCAGCCTTCGACAATCTCGTTGCTCTCTAGGACATCGTTCGATAGATACGTCACGAGCTGACTCTTGCATCTTGCGGGATTGTTCTTGCTTTGGGCGAATATTTGACGGAGAACAATGAGTGGACTCTTGGAGGGCACGGCGGGGCTCAAAAAGTGGTTTTAAAGATAATACTGATCGGTACTAACCGAGCGCAGAAGATTCTCGCTGGAACGATTGACAATTCCCTTGTCCACTCCCTCGAGGCCTCTCTGTCAAGGCCGAACTTGGATTCAAAGGAGCTTCACTTGCCAACATTTCCGCATGATTCATCCACTTGGATGATGCCACTAGTTGAAATTTTTGAACGAGCAAGTGATGTGGGCTTTTCAGCTCCCAGAATTTTCACTGTGTGCTTGCCATACGTTGCATGTAACTCCTTGTATGCACTTGGTGCACTGGTTGGATCTAAGTATCTCCTCTCAATTGCTGACATAATGAGTAAATCACAACAAGGCACGCACCCATGCTCCGACCCCATTTGCGACCAAATTTCCGTTCTCTCGCTAACAACACTTTTACCCACACTCGTTCCATTACGAGGCTGCCATTAAAAAGGAATGCGCTGACCGGTCGCATCCGAACGATATACACCTATCCATCCAGGCCCGCGTCCTTGGGCGCCCGAATCTGGTTTCGTCCCGATGGAACACCCAGATCCAAGTTGAAGGGAATCGCAATTGGTGAGTCTTCAAGTCATCTGGCCTGTGCCCTCCAGTATTCTCTCATTCTCTCCCTATCGGTTATGCGAATCTGCACTGACACCCCCATCAGCCACCTTGTTCGGCGCTGCGCTCTACAGCACCTGGACAACTCTGCTCCTGCTCGAAGACCTGGCATACGAAAATGCGCTGATGGCGGCTCTTATACATATCCAGCGCGTTGACTATGAACTGTTCCCTGGCGGCCGCGCCCATGATTTCTCCACGGAGCTGAACGCCGATGGAAGTGATGATGTGGATGGACTCGCCGACCCGCGTGTTGCCGTCGAGTATTTCGCCTCCCTGTGCGAATACATGCAAGTAGAGGAGGGTCTGCCTCAAGACGCGCTAGAGACCTTCTTCGATAACGTGGTGTCGGTGGTGAAGGACGCGAACGCTGCCCAACTGCAGTATGACCCAGCCGCAAGCGCGGAAGACGTCCCTCTTCCTGCACGAATCCATGTCCTTGTTCGAACAGCGGCCCGAGCCGTGCACAAGATCCTCGCGAAGGGCCGGACGCATGATCCCGTTGAGCTCGCTGCGGCCATCATCATCGTGCTTGACACGGCACTGCTCGCGGTGTTGGCTGTGATGGAGGAGGCCAGGGAAGAAATGCACATCGAGGGCGAGGAAGCTGAAGCTGAAGCCGGACGCGCTCTTCGAGAAAAGATGCGATCGTTACGTGAACAGCTGGAGACCAGGGAGAAGGAGAGAGACGGATCTCGGGACGAGGAGAAGGGAAAGGGAAAGGGTACTGGCGGTGCGGAGAAGTTCGAGGTCCTGGGCTAGACTGGGCATTCGATTTTGTGTTCCTTAAGTCAGAGTGTCGTACGCTCTGCTCGATGTTTGCCCATGCTCGTCTTGCACTCGCACATGAGTGCCTTGCGGCGCTGGTGTTTACTTCAGGGCAGGCGAGTCCATTTTTTCGTCCTGGGATATTCCTTACTGTACCTCATGACTTCGGTCGAGATCTAGAGCCTGATACGTCTATTCAAGGAACGAGATCCTGCAAATGCTTGACAACGCCCGCCCAGGCCTTCGAAGTTCGCAGAATCAGAAAGATTCACTCTAGTTCTCGGCTCTTTTCAGCAGCGAACGTGCGATGACAGATCGATCCCGCCTAATGGAACCCACTTTGTGGTAAATCTTTTCACTCTTCAAGCCACAAAAGTTGTTTGGTGTTGTAATTTTCCTGTCCTCGTCCTTCCCATGTCGAAATTATACGTGGGGTAAGTCCCAGCCATTGCTAGGATCCAATGCTAATCGTGCTATTGCGCAGGAACCTCAGCTTCGGCGTTGACGACGACACCTTCTATCAGGTTTTTTTTCTGCTATCTGACGTTGACAAATCGTCTCATCGCCCATCGATCAGGCCTTCAGTCAATTTGGCCAAGTGACGGATGTGCGTTCGATCCTTCCTCTGCACTGTTATCCATGTATGTTTACCTGGATGAGTAGGCCATCGTCATGAAGGATCGCGAGACTGGTCGTTCCCGCGGATTCGGCTTTGTTACATTCAGCACTGCCGAAGAAGCTCAGGCCGCTATCGACAACCTGAACGAACAGGACCTTGAGGGCCGCCGCATCCGTGTGAGCTTGGCCAACGAGCGTCCGTCTGGCGGAGGAGGCAAGCCGCTTTTAATCGGCAGTAGTGCGTCGTGTTCTGACCTCATTTTCAGGATTTGGCGGAGGCCGCGGTGGTGGCGGTTACGGTGGAGGCCGCGGACGCGGCGGTTATTCTGGCGGAGGAGGTTACGGTGGAGGCGGCGGAGGCTACGGTGGAAACAGCCGCTACAACCAAGGTACGTTGTCGTGACATGCTCTTGGCGCATCACTGACTTGTTCTCTAGACCAGAGCGGTGGCGGCTCCTGGTGAAGAGCAAAACACCTTCGCGCTTGGGATCTTCAGTGGCATCGATTTGAATCTTTCCAGTTGCTATCGCTATTCTCTGTATTGTATCGCCCATCATACTGCACGGTTTTTACGCGTCTCTCTGTCATGTATCCCCTAGCGAATGTAAATCATCAAGAGGATCTCCCTGATCGATGGCGAAGGCATGGCTCGCAGAAAAGGAAGCGGAGTTTCCTATTTCGGAGATATCTTGGACTTCAAGCTTGGTCCATCTCCTGTCAGGAAGTTACAATAGACTAGAACATGTTCGCTGTACACTTTCCTGTAGCGATTGAATTCGTTCAAGAGAATTGGTGAAGATTTCTACTCTTGAACGACCCATTTCACAGATCTCAACAGCTTTGTCTTTACGTCTTGATCTGGAGCTTCTAATGCCTGAATAGAGTATTCTGTCACCCTTCCATCAACCCTGGAGAAGGCGCCTGCGGAGTTCGAAAAATGCTTGTATAAATACGATGGGGTACTCGATTCAGAACGCACCCTTCTCCTTCCCACCACAACCATCTTGGTGGGTTTTTGGTTTCGTGTTAAGCTTCCGCACCCGTCTTCGTCATGTCCAAACTATACGTTGGGTACGCGCGTCGTCTCCGTCTTTTCCCTAATTTCTCACTCCTCCCCTCAGAAACCTTAGCTGGAACACCACGGACGAAAGTCTGCGCGACGTGAGAGCTCCTTACCGTGTTCTCCGTCTCTTATTGATCGCTTCGGCAGGCATTCTCCGCTCATGGGCAAGTCACCGATGTGCGCCCATCCTTGGTCATCTGACCTCGGTCGCTGACGGCACCTTGACAGGCCATCGTCATGAAGGATCGCGAGACCGGTCGCGCGCGAGGCTTCGGATTCGTCACCTTCTCCTCTCCCGAAGAGGCTCAAGCAGCCATCGACAACATGAACGAGTCCGATCTTGAAGGTCGTCGCATTCGCGTCAACATCGCCGAGGTGCGTTGCTAGGACAGTCTTGGGACTACTTTTAATTCTTTTCTCGCAGCAACGCGGTGGCGGAGGAGGTGGAGGTCAGCACATATGTTTTTTTGTTCCTGCTCGTGTGCTCACGTGATGCAGGCTATCGCTCCGGCGGAGGAGGCGGCTATGGCGGAGGAGGTGGCTATGGTGGAGGAGGAGGAGGTGGCTACGGTGGAGGCAACGGTGGTTATGGTGGAGGTACGCCCCCTGCAGCTTCCGATAAGGCTTCTATTTATCTTCTATCTGCAGGCGGCTATGGTGGTGGCAACAACGGTGGTGCGTTCCCTACTAGACTTCCAGCCCCCTTTACTCATCAACTCTCCAGGCTCCTGGTAAAAGATGATCTAGCCGTGCGATTGTTTGTACGTTTCTTCTACTCGTCCTCGGACCTTGTGCTCAAGCATTTGCCAGTTGATCCCTGTTCCAATGCTTTGAAGCCTGTACAAGTCACACATACATGTAACACGTTTTCTGAGAAATGTCACTGGTACCTCATAATACCGTACGCGGCGCGTCGCGTCGAGCACGTGATCTCACCTCCATCGCAGATCCAAAACCTGTTTCATATGCTTTGACTATCACTGCGACCTCGGTCAATGCATTTGATCCCTGGATTCGTTGGACACACGACCAGTTCAACAATCGTAGTCGCTGCTGTTCACGCTTCCGCTTCCGCCGTCGCGTCCTTGTTACTTCCACTATCCTCCTATCCCCCAGATATCGTTCATGGCTTCTGTTTCCCCTCAAAGCAATCAATGAAGATAATCAGTCGGGGCGAGTCTGATCCCGTGGGATTCGGACGCGGAAACCGAGCAAAGATCTCTTCCCGCTACCTATTAAAGATCAAAGGGCGAAGTCACACCGCTTTCCCTGCTGCTGACAGCATTCATGTTATCTTTCTTCTCCCTGGCCCTGTTGTTCCCTGCCAGTCTCTATGCCCTCTCGATGTCAGGATGGGCTCTCCTCCGTGCTTGGTCACGCAAGAAGCAAGTTGGCATCACCGAACTGGACCTCTTCTCCCAGCCGAGGTCTTCGACGGAGAGGATCCCCGGTACCGCTGTGGTATGCGGCGGAAGGTGTGTCTCGCGTATCTGGCTCTCTTGATGAGCGGCGATCGGACAGTCTCTAGCATCGCAGGGCTTCTTACGGCTCGCGTGTGCCATGATCATTTCGAGCGCGTCGTCGTCGTCGACCCGGAGGGCTGGATCTTCACGGAGGACGGGTGTGATGTGAACAACGCCCGGACGCGGACCCGAGTGGCTCAGTATCTCTCATTGCACAGTCCGTCGCCACGCTCGTCGCTCGTCGGCTCTATCTGAATCATAGCGGATTCAGACTTCCAATCCTTTGTCGTTCTTGTGCTCCAGCGCCTATTCCCCAATCTAGCGGAGGAATGCGGCCAGTGCGACATTCCGTGAATCTCGCCGCTTGTCTAGTGTGACGTATCGTTGACTGTTCGCAGCATTCGGCCGTTTGCGATTCCGCTACATCTCGCCGGCGTCCGACACCGACAGCCGGCTGCAACTTCTGGCGGGAAGTCGCCGCTCACGCTGGAGACTACACGTGTGGGATTCGAAGCTCTACTTCGGTGCGGAGGCGACCATTGCTTTTTTGAATCGGTGTGTGATGATCGACAACAGGCGCCTCGTGATGAACCGCGAGAGGTACCCCAACATCCAGTTCGTTGCTGGCACGGTGACAGATGTGGTTCCCGATCCGGCAAACTCTTCACGTCTGTCCAAAGTGCTGGTCCGGCCGACGAACGGTAGTACGATGGAGCTCCCAGCAGATCTAGTTGCCGGTGCGCTATCGTGCGACGCTACCCGGACTGACTAGACTAGCTCATGGGAGCTGCAGATTGCACCGGCTTGACGCGAGCGGGCATGAGATGGCTGTCGAAATGCGGTTACGGCCTTCCATCGCCTATGCGGGGGAGGCTCCCGCTCGACGAGTTGAAGATCGAACTGGACCAGAAGCTCCGGTATTCAACGCTCACGTTCCCTGTGTCCGAGGCACTCTTTGCTCAGCTTCCTTTATCGGACGAGTGCCGGACGCGCTGTGTGCTTTATGTGACTTTCGAAGAGCAGACGGCTACCACGTTGGCGAAAGGCCCTGCGCTGATTACGTTGGAAAGGGTGCCCGGAAAGAGTATGCCTTCTTCGCTCATCTTATCTCGCTACGCGGTACTCATCCTGGATAGTGGTCTTGTTCTTTGCGCACTATGGCCATCGGCGCATACAGCCGCGATCCCTCGCCGAGGCCAAGGATTATCTCGCCGACCTGGAGATGCGAGTACCCATCCCGGACTGGTTCTATGAGACACTTGAACGACTGGAAGAGGTGGGGGATCCTGTGGTCTCTACGATTCGAGTTCCGCCGACCAGCTTCATACGCTATCACCTTGCGCACGATCTGCCGTCCAACTTTGTTGCGCTCGGAGACAGCGTCATGAACAGTAATCGCGTCTGCCTCCTTGGAATTCATCGCAATACTCAACCAACCCTATGTAGTCAACCCCACGTTCGCTGAAGGAACCAGCAAAGCTGCGCGATGCGCCTTGGCACTGAAGAAATCGCTCCTCGCCTTACCATCAGGTGTTCGCGTGCTGCCCGCTGACTTTGGAGCCAAGTTCTTTGAGGAACAGAACGCGAAGACGGCCTGGATGTGGGAGTCCACTCGTGTCAACGGTGTGTGTCCACCGATTGTTCTCATCCAAACCCCCTGTTCACATGAAGGAAAGACTACGGGCAGCCTACCACCGAGCCCATCAAAGGCGAGAGCCTCTCTTCGGGTGCTCTTCTGCGTTGGTATTCCCGTCACCTCATGAAGCTCACCGCTACGGTCAGTCACCTCCTAGCCTCCACAAATTCCCATGGAACTGAATTGAGGGTATGATCTAGGACGAGCTGGCCGCCTGGGCATTCTATACATTCCAGGTCGGGTACGGGTCTGGAATCGAAGGATTCCATCCACATGTCGTGGCCAAAGTACTCTGGAACGCGTTCACAGGCCACTGGCGGAGTGACATGTTGCGCAAGTAGATAGATCGTCAGAGTTTGGACATTGGATCAGTCAATGCGCCGCGCGCTGCCCATCACGGTCCGCGACGCGTCGAGCACGTGCTCTCTAGTCCCTTGGAAGTAACAGGAAATCCACTTGATGCCCAAATCCTTTGCCACACTCCGCTCTCTCTCGAAATGAGCTGACGCAGATCATCCTACGGGCTGCAGAGCAGGAAGCGATCGAGGCTTGTGGCCGAGGCTTCCCCACCGCGGTGGGTCTTGGGTCTACCCCCGCACTGGTCGAGCATCTGGATCAAGTCACACTGAGATGAGTCGAAGTGGCGTAAGACCCATCTCCGGAAAGGGAAGGGGCGAACATCCCATCACTAACGTCGCGAAGCCGCATCTAGGTTGCGTAGGATTCAACGATGTAGGGAAGAGTCGGGACAACTTTCTCTACGCAATGGCCGGATCTTCATTCTGAGCACCTTGCAGCTCACTAAATAAGATCTTCTGCCACGGCGATATCAACGCCAGATAGACTCGATGGGATTGAGCACTTTCAAGATGCACCGCAGATGAGAGATCGGGGGATAGCTTGTATAATGAAGTGCGGAGGACTTGACAGTACCGTTCAACATCAGCGCAACGTTGTACAGGCGACCCATGCGAAAGCAGCAAGGTGTACAAGAACGATATCAATCCGTCCTTTCCCCGAGATACGCAGTTACAAAGGCGCCCACTCCGAGTACAGAGCCGCGACTAGTTTAGCTTCTCGCAGCACCCAATTCGGTGTCTACGTGAAAACCAACAGCTGCTGTTGTCAAGTTCTGGTTTAAACCGACCCCCCTAAATTAGCCTGGTTATTTTATTGTAGGTTCACATCATGCAAATGTCAGGTCCATCCATCCCGAAGTCTACAGTCTACCAGGGCCACCACCTCCGCCCGTTGCTGTTCGAATGTTCTCGCTTGCTGATCACCGTCTCCACGGTCGTCAGCCCCTGCTTCGTCGTCGTCACGTACGACACACGGTTGTTGCGCAGCTTGCGCTTGGGGAGCATGTTCGGCGTCGGAGAGAGCCTGAAGAGCGGCGCGACGGGCGTCCCGTCGAACTGGAACAGATGCAGCTTCGGGCCGAACGTCACGTCGGTGAAGATGCGCCACGACTGGTACAGCTCCGTCACGTTGTAGTTCTGGATGAACGACGAGCTCTTGCCGCAGGACGACTGCACCTGCTGGTAGCCGTCGCCCGCGGGCGTGAGGACGATCGACCCGTTCAGCAGCAGCGCGTATGTGCCATGCGCCCACACGAGCGTGCTGACGATGCAGCTCGGATCCGACGCTGCACGCGTGTCAGGACGCCGCGGCGCAGGTTGGAGAAACAAGGGAGCACGCACAGTTTCCGACGTAGCGCAAGCGCGCGATTTCGTACCACCCGTCGTCGGAGCTGGGAACAGGAACGTGAGCAGCGGCCGCGTGCGTCAGCGAAAGGAGGCCTACAACGCGTATCCCACCCCGGCAGTCGGCGGGAAGATGAACGACTCTTGAGCGGGATTCGCAAAGCCCTGACATGACGATGAGATCCGCACGCGCTGTGACATTCAGGAAGGTCGCACAGAGCCCGTCACGACGTTCTGCGTCCCAGACGACCACGTCCCGACGATGGACGTCGTGTTGTGCCCGGCGTCGAACTGGGCGAGGGCGGGGACGATCGCGAGGACCAGTGCGAAGAGAGAGGCCAGCATCAGACCGTGCCCGAGTAGGGTCAAAGCGAGTAGACGAATGCGGCGACTGTTCGCCGCAGAAGATGAAGTGGTGGCTGTGCATCCCTCTCATGTGATTGACGCGCCCAGCGTCGGGCGCCAGTACTCAGTATCCGCGTTCAGACGAGCCAGATTCGTCCTGGAATCTCGGACGAGCATGGGGGTAGGATGCCAAGTATCAATAGCTTGATGGTAAACAATTAGACGTAACAAACGCAAAGTATATACCGATAGATCGCCTCTAAAATTAGGTACTAGCATACATCATTCACTAATTGGCAGCACATTCGGAGTCCCAGTCGATCGGCGTCAGCTCTTTCACCCGCGCGCTGAAGGCGGCGAGCGTGCAGAATTCAGGCGATCCGGGGAGATGCTTGCCCTCTTCCGAGCAGAGCGGCAGTGCCATGTTCTTGTTCTGGTATCGCATTCGGACGACTAAGGGCGGGGCGCATTGAGCAAGATCGGAAGACACACAGCGACGAAACGCGTACAGTACTCGGCTGGCGGGGTGATCTTGAAGGGCGACATCACTGTGTCCAGATACGACTGCTGCACTTGTCGCTGCGCCGACGGAGACTTCTTGAACAACTCGAACGTGATCGAGGCCGTGAAAGCAGGCCACCTGGGGATAGCACACGTCACAAAAACACATCTAAAGAGTCGAAGCGACTCAACTTGTCGTCGAAGACGTCCAGAGTCGAGCACATTGCCGCCAGGGCGGTATCGTGGGTACTGTGGACGAGCAACTTGAGCGGGTTCTCAGCGCCTTCGTCAGCCTTCTGCTGCATCTTGCGCGAGAGATCGGAGAGCAAGGGCCCCATTCCAAGCCGGCGCACTTCGGGTGTTTTGTCTGCTTTTCATGAGTACCATTGCACTTGATGGATTTACACAGGATCTCACAGCCTGATGAGGTAGGTCACAATTTGGCCGGTTTCGTAGTCGAGGAAAGCGACATACCTGCAAACCATTCCGCCAAAATGGCTTGTTCCTAGAAACTGATATTCAGTTCAAGGCTAAGTGATCTCTGGAGCAGGGTACACACGATGACGTCCACGATGGCTTTGTCCTCAAATTCAGGAGGGACTTTGACGCCTTGGGCGATGGCAGCCCTAATCTTCAAAGCTATTGAGCAGCGAAAGCGACCGGATACTGCCCACGCACCGTATCCATGACACCTGACGCACGCGGTCTGCCATCGACGCGAATGGGCCGCCCGTCGATATACTTTGACACGAATTTGTCTAGAGGCTCCAGTGTCTGATTGTAGGCCGCTGCGGCCGCTGCGAGACCGTCGCGTCAGCAATCCAGGGGGAGACATGGACTTTGCTGCTGCGCTTCACCTTGGGCGAAGCCAACTTGGAGGTACTCCAGACGTTTGCAACTCATTGTGTTTCCTGCATAGGTTCGGTATTCCGTGCGTGCTGCAGATAAGTTTTGGATTACCGAGCAGATTCTCGTCGCGACCGTTGCTGAACAAAACTTTTGTAAGCTTCCAGAAGACTCTGAGCGAGAAGACTCACCGAACTAATAACGCAGGAGTAGCGTTTTCGGCGTATTGGCTGGGAGGGTATAGCCCGTGGATGACCTGTTCCAGAGATTCTATCGTGCGCGGCATGTTAGTGCTTCTAGGAGAAATGTCAGCTCATACGATGCAGGCCGCTGGATGGGGGAGAGTCGCACCGGAAGTAAACTTCTCCGGGCGTCATCAATAGGTCGTTTAGGAATCCAAGTCTATAGAGAGATTATAAGCAGTCCTCGAGACTGATCGGAACACAAACCTATCTATGTAGAGGCTTCTCAGGGCGGCTCCATAGTTGTACGTCGACTAGGCGGGAGCTGTTCAGATCCAGGCCACGGGAGTTGATCCGGACTGACCTTGCGGCCGATATCAGTCAGCTCCCCAAGCAAACTATAAACGTTCCATCACGCGCATGAGAACCCGGCCGGTCGTGAGGCAAAGCAGCGAATTCCTCACCATAATCCCTCAGCGGGCAATCCGTCCTTGCGCTCGACGACCCGCCGCGTCCGCAGGCGGTCGTTCCCGTTGCTGCCGCTGATGACCTGGCTGTCGTGCTGCCGCCCGGCCGTGCACATAACCCAGTGCTCCGGGATGAACGGCGCGAGGCGCACGCCCACCGGGGTCCGCTCGCCTGTGTGTGCGCGCGCGCATGTCAGCCTGGCTGCAGCCTCCAAGAGTCCAACGGCGCGCGGCCCACGCACCGTGTCGCACATACACGTGCACCTGCGCGAGCTCGAGCTCCGGCGGCGCCACGGGGTACTTGTTCGCGTCCAGCGGGACCTGCGGCGGGTGGTACGTGTACGGCTGCGCGGGGTTGTGCGTCACGCTGTTCGCGGGGGACAGGAGCGGCATGGTCGCGTTGGGGAATAACCGTGACGCGGGGGGCTCTAGCGGATCGGCCGGGCTTTGGGCAGCTACGGAGATGGCGCTGGGCACGAGGAGGGCGGCGAGGAGGAGGGCGTTGAGCAGACTACCGAGCGGGATCAGTCTGATTGGGTGCCGGGGCATGGGGCAGGGTCGATGGCTCGGGCGAGTGGGGGGACGGCTCAGTCAAGACCGTCTTATTCGCGCGCGCACACGCGTGTGGTAGAGCTGCACGTTGTCGTCGCCTGTCGTGCAAAGTCGTGACTCGATGCCTGGTCGTTGCGCTCGGCCGGCGCGGATTTTGCTAGCAGTTTGAATGCAGATCGCATCATGATGGTAGTGATGCACACGGATCAGTATCACCTTATGTGAGCCGCACGCGGCTGGGATAGATTAGATTTCCTTCGAGGGCCGACAGAATCGAAGATGGAATTCAGATACAAGGGCTCGAATGGATTGCTCTTGACGACGACATTCATTGTTTACATTGGTTACAAAGAAGACAAATTCATGTGACATTTCCGGGCCCCATGGCTCACGTATGGGTGACCGAGAGGTTGCGGACCTTGTAGGTAGTTTTCCCGGTCGGTCCAGGGGATCCAGAGCTTCCCTCCATCTGGCAAAACAATCAGAACATAGGGCACATGACCGACTCTTTTCATACCTGCAGGTCAATGATGCTGGAATCTCGATGTCAGCTTCACAGAGCGCAGAGAAAGCAAGAAGGCTCACAGCCAAAGCGGCTGGTTCACGAATCCAGCACCGATTTGCGTGACTTGGAAGACATTGTCGAGGTAGAAGTCGATCTTGACGTCGGCGCCGTTCGGCTGGGCGGTCATGACGGCCTTAAGCGCGTGGAAGGAGAGATCCGAGGGCCATGGGACGAGGTGCGACACGACGGCACTCGAACTGGGCAGGGCATGGCGTGTGACCAGCTGAGGCGGACTGGGCAGACAAGTAACTCACGTGTTGAATGTATTGTACCAGTTATTCTTGGTCCCTGGCAAGAGCTTTCAGCCGTCGAGCGTGTCACCAGCTGCAGGTAAATAAATACCTTTCCATTCACCGATATCGACCTCGGGAGGCCACGAGTTGACAGCCTACGCAGACCGTTCAGCAGCACACAAGTACCAAGCTCCCGTCAACCCACGGTGAGCCCTATGGACCGTCAGCGAGGACCTGAAACTGCAGAGGACAAGACGCACAGAACGCCGGCCAAGTCCCGAAGGTCGTCGGTGCGCTAAACTCGCCGGACAGCGTGTAGGCCTGCGACGTCGTGACGGTGATGTGCGATTTTGCGTACACGGTGCCGCTCGCGTAGTGGATCGCGGGGTGCGGGTTCGACGCGCTGGTCGGCGGCACGGGGTTCGAGGTGGGCGTCGCCACGAGCGTCAAGGTGTTGGACGCGACAGCGATGTTCTGGTGGTAGCTGGAGTTGCCGACCATCCGGGCACCTATGGGGATGAGCTACTTTGTTTGCGTTGCACTCATGAGTAACACTGACTGCCGTTGTGGTCAGACCCCCAGGGATAGAGATAGCCCTGCTCATCCGCGTTAGGGTTCGGTCAATTGGGGGAATGCGCACTGACCCAAAAGCTCTCAAAGACGGAGTAGCTGCTGAAGCTGTTCGACGGGATGACCGTCGTCAGGCCGTGGACAGGGTTGCATGCCAGCAGCAGTGCAAGGGAAACAAAAGCCAGAGCGGTACTTCTAGCAGCACGTCAAACTCCCATTTCACACGAAACGATGCATTCGCAGTACCTGCGCAGGTCGAACATGGTGAGCTGAGATGCGATGCAATGCGAAGCCCGGAGCCAGATGACCTTGCATTTAAACGAATCCCGAAAGGACGATCCCGCGACCCATCCAATATCGCTCGGCTGACTAGGAGGTTACGCCGCGTGGCTTAAATCCGGAAGATATAGCTCCAGAGACTCTATCTGTTGCTTCTTCGTCTGGGAGCATCGCTATGACGCTCGCACTTGGGATGATCATCCTGATGAGACACACCACATGCCAGCGATACCGCCGATTAGGCTCGCGCATCTGATCGAACCACGTCTTATCGAGGAGCCTGGAGCGGAAGGAGACGACGCGGCGTCCCGTGCGTTGATCCTGCTGTGGTGGCGAATGTGGCAGGCGGAATCAAGGGTGGGGTGAGCCAAACAACGCGGGCAACTATTCCAACCCGACTCGGAGTCGGACAAGCCGCGGGATCCGACGTCACCCGGCGCTTCCCCGCACTGATCGCCATCACGAGTGTGGGGCACCCGGTTGACAGTCTGAAGTTAAGCGGCTACAATGCATGAAGTATGTGCCCTGTACACTCTTCGACCGAGCCACGATGCTGCGCAGACATCTCCTCTCTACGGCATCGCGCATCCGGCATCGGCGATCCCTCCTAACGCTCTCTGCGGTTGAGGGCCCGCTCGACCCGCCCCTCGTCACCACGACACTCCCCGCGTACTTCGCCTCAGACATCCTGCGCAAATACAGCGAGCGGCCGGGACTGATATGCCGAAACGAGGCGCCACGCGCGCACGGTGGGCCCCCGTCGCACAACATGGGCAGGGCCGCGCACCTCGCGTGGTCCTTCGACGAGTTCGACCGGCACATCAACGCACTGGCGCGCGGCCTGCTTCGGATGGGCGTGAGACGGGGTGACCGGGTCGGCGTGATCATGGGCAACACCAGGTAGCGTCTTTCTCGATCTCCGGTGTTCCACGGCGTCGTGCTTCCCCCCGCGCGCAGTGCGTATGCGATGCTCCAGTGGGCGTGCGCGAGCATCGGTGCGATCCTGGCGACGATCAACCCGGCGTACCGCGCCCAGGAGCTCGTCAGTACTCCGTGGTCTAGGAAAATGCCTCTGCACTCGCTGATTCTATTTTTGTCCTCCCCCAGGGCGATGTTCTGAACCTCGTGGGAGTGCAGCATCTGATCATCGTCCCGCGGATCCGGAAATCGTCCTACGCGCAGATGCTCGTCGACAAGTTCCCGCAACTGACAAGCTCGTCGGCGGGATGTGCGTTGGAGGTGGAAAGCCTCCCTGCGCTGAGGAATCTGGTTGTTGTCGATAACTCGGGACAGTTCACTGACGAAGCGGAGAAACTAGGGCTGAGGAGTTGGATCGACTGGCGGGAAGTCTTGGTCTGGGATCCCGCCTCCCGGGAGGCACGGGTCCAGCGACAGCTGATCGACTCGCTTGACAAGGACGATATCATCAATCTGCAGTTCACGAGGTGATTGGCATCCTTTTCCCAACAAGCTCAGTCTCTCATTAGTTTCGCAGTGGAACGACTGGCGCTCCTAAAGCCGTGTCGGTGAGTTAAGTTTCAATCTACCAATCTTGGCTCCGGGCGGCTGATGATATCATCGTATACCAGCTGACGCATTCTAACCTTTTGAACAACGCCATCTCGATTGGGAGTTGCATGCATCTAACCGAGCAAGATGTCGTATGCGAGTCATTCATCCTGTTCATCTGGTCCAAGTCCTGACATCTCCGCACCAGGCAACGTCCCTCCTCTCTTCCACTGCTTTGATGAGTGTCAAGTGTCTCCCTCTCGTTGGAATTCGGTCTAACATCCCAAGCACGGCTTGTCCTAGGCAATCTCGCGGCCTGGACGCACGGCTCATGCATCGTCTATCCTGCGGAGGTCTTCCACGCACCCTCGATTGTGGACACCGTGATCGAAGAACAGTGTACCGCGCTCCACGGTGTGCCGACGCACTTCCTGGGCGTCCTGTCCGAAGTGGAGAGGCGACAGGCGGACGGGGAGGACGTCAAGATCCCCAGCCTCCGGTGTGTGCACAGACCTGAAGCCGGAAATCCTAGTTCACCGGCAGGCAGAACCGGGATCGCCGCGGGCTCGCCCATTCCGATCGAGCTCATGAAGAAGCTCATCGCGAAGATGAATCTCGTCGATCTGACCAACGCATACGGGATGAGTGAGTGCGCGTTCTTCTCCGCCGTCCGTCCGTTCCTGATTCGTGCATGTCAGCGGAGACGAGGTCAGTCGGTCTTTGGATTAGCCACCGCGAAGCCTGCGGGCCAATACCGATGACCGAACTACTGACAGCCCGGTCTCGTTCCAAACCACCTCCGGAGACGCGCTCGACAAACGCGTCGAGACCGTCGGGAAGGTGCAGCCCCATGTCAGAGCGAAGCTCATTGATCCGGACGGCCGCGTCGTTCCTGTGGGCGCGCCGGGGGAGCTGTGCGTTGCGGGGTATCTGCTGCAGAAAGGGTCAGCTGATCCCGTTGGTTACTTGTATTCGCGTGGTCCGCTGATGAGGCGCGAGCAGGTACTGGCGGGACGACGAACGGACGAAGGAGGTCATGAAGACGGATGAAGAGGGGACGCTGTGGATGCATACAGGGGACGAGGCCATCATGGACGAGGAAGGGTACCTCAGAAGTACGGTCTCCTCCATCTCGAAATGCCGAATCTGAAACAAGTTCCCACAGTTGTTGGTAGGATGAAGGTTTGTCGCTCGGATCTCACTGTCGGATATGTGACTGATTCGCTCGCAGGATATCATCATCCGCGGTGGAGAGGTAACATCGCATCTCCTATGTTAGGTCCAGAGGGACGACTGACATTCCCTCGAGAATCTATTTCCTGTGCAGATCGAAAACGTGGGCTCGATAGAAACTATCCTTTTGCATAGGCTCACCGTCTCCGAAAGGCCATCTTAACGAATCACGGGGTGGAAGAGGCCGCTGTCGTCGCCGTTCCTGACGAGAAATACGGTGAAGTCGTCGGGGCCTGGATCGTCCGGGCGCGCGGAACGTCGACTTCCCGCGAAGAAATCAAGGAGACCGTCGTAAAATCCATCAATCCTCAGGTGAGCCGGGCGAAAAAGCGGTTCTCTGGTTATGTGGTTGTGCAGCATTCTCATGTACCCTCGGGTAGAACGCGCCTGCGTGGATTTTCTTCGTGGGCGAGGACGGTGCTGAGTCGGAGCTTCCTAAAACGGCGAGTGGGAAGGTTCAGAAACATGTTCTGCGCGAGTGGAGCAAGGAACTGGTGCGCGACAATGTTGGGAGAATCTAGACGCGTCGCGTGTGCTGCTGCTGGCAAGGCACGTGATCGCGTTATTGTCAATCCCCATGGGCCAACTGATCTACTTTTATCTCGAAAGATAGGCCTCGGAGGATCAAGATGCACATATATACGATAATTAACATGAGGATACAACGCTTTTGTTTGGGTGCTACAAGAATAGGATACAACAGGCTTTTTGGAACATTCTCCCTGCATTCATCCTTGCACAGTCGCGCGGGGATGGCCGGGAGTGTCCAGGCCAGGGGAAATTCAAGTTGCCGGTGCGGCCGTCTGAGACCTTGGCGGATGGAATGGCCGGCAGCGACTGCATTCGTCAGCGAGAGCTCGCCGGCCATCACAGGCGATGATGCGCGCGAGACGCTGTGCGTTTTGTCCCGGATGCGTGAGATGGGCGCCGCGCAGCCCGAGCATCTCGACGCGTCATCGCATCCTGCGTCAAAACAGTCGTGACGCCGCCGCCGGCACTCAGTGCTTTACAGCCGCGGGAGGTGGACGCGACGAGCGTCCCCTCGGCAGTAGCCATCGGGAGGAGGAAGGCGACGCCGTCAGTCGTGAGCGGGCCGGCGATCCCGAGCAGTATCGGGACGTACCCGACGACGTTCCCGCAGCAGGCGCCGTGGACTTTGCCGTAGTCGTAGTTATGGAACGGCAACCCTGACGCTCTACAGTATACTATATAGGGAATAATCGATGATGCATTGGAAGCACAAGTGTGAGCGGGCTGAAGTGCTCTATCCTCGGCTCGAAATGAACAGTGACAGGGCATTGTGAGAATACACGACACACGAATAGAGTAGCACCCGAATCCCTGGAAACACACGAGGCAGACCACAACAGAGAAACACGACTTTCTCGCGAACGATGTTCTATTCCTGTTACTCCGCTGTTATTGCAAACACGGCGATTGCGTCGAATATTGATGATACGTATGCTGCAACTTAGTGAATGCATTTCATGTCGACCATCCCCGCCGATCCCGCCGTGTGCCTCAGCGATGTGCGGGACTACTCAACAAGTCACCCAAAAGATAGCCGAGGTCGCTAAAATTTTGCTATCAAAGCTCCAATTTACGATCAAAATTGCCAAGACGTCGTTTTATGGGGGCTGCGAATATGCTCTATTGCAAACACGACTTTCTCGAGCTTTCTCGCGAGACCCGCAGTGTCTGTGTCTGTTCACCTGCCATCACTGCTCATTTCGAGAGTTCGCAACGTTCAGCCCTTGGGTTTCCTTTTTGGGGAATTTACCAAAAAGGGAATCACAAGGGCTGAACAAGGGAAACACAAGCTTTTTTGAGAACTTGTTCAGCCCTTGTGTTTCCCTTTTTGGCAAATTCCCGAAAAAGGAAACCCAAAGGCTCAAGGGCTGAACGTTGCGAACTGCAGATGTTACTTCAGCCCGCTCACAATTGTGCTTGCAATGCATCGACTTCGCTCTGTGAAGGCTGATACCCCGTCGGTCCTCCACCAGCATGGACATGATTGACGTGTCAGTCCATCTGCTTGCATCGAGCTTTCTCTTTCTCGTATATATACCGCACAACCCGCCTCTCATCCCTGCACTTTGCCAATGAATCCCACCTATGAGAACTCACAAACAAGCCCTCTCAGCAGCGACGGATCGCGCCTTGCGCATGGTCTCCCGGACTCAAGTGCGCCTGATCTTGCATCGTTGATCACCAACACCGTCACTCTGTTGTCACTGCCTCCGATTGGTCTCACGCTCTCTCTCTGCGCGATATTCACCGTATTTGTCCTCTGGGCTGCGCCAGGAAGGGTCTCTCGTGCAATGGTGGCCGCCGTCGAACAAGCCGATGGAGAGTTCTGTGATGCCGCCGAGTCGGGAGCTGTACAGTTTCGTGGAGAGATGGCCGAGGAACTCGAACAGTGAGTGCTTGCACGTCTGTCTACAGAGAGAGTACTTCCTTACAGCGTGTTACAGACTACGCACCAGGGCATCGGAGCTCCGGGAGGAGTATCTCAAGAGCTGTCTCTCGTACCAGAGCAGTGTCATCTACCTCTTGAAGGGAGGCCCCATCAGACTCTTTCTCTGCCAACACGCAATCCAAGTCTTCCGAACTCACACTGAGGTACATCTGCGTGTCCTGCTACGCAGACTGCTGTTTTGTACTGATCCCTTGCTCAGATTGCCAAGGAGGCACATAATCGCGTGCCACCAGAGCAGGAACCTATTGTGCTCCGCCGTCGTAGAGCTGCTGCCCAAACACGTCCCGACTCGTAACCGCCATCTTTCTGTCAGTGGACGCTTGAGTTATATGATCGTCACAATCTGCCTCTGCACCGAGTTCTACATATCATGTTCTACCTATCATTTCGTGGACCGTAATCCACGTTCAGTCTTTGATCTTTGGACGGCCCGCTGCGGGCCGACGATACAGATGACCGAACCACTGACAGCCCGGTTTCGTTTCAACGAACCACCGGCGACGCGCTCGACAAACGCGTCGAGGCCGTCGGAGAGGTGCAGCCCCATGTGAGAGTGAAGCTCGTTGATCCGGACGGCCGGGTCGTTCCTGTCGGGAGTCGGGACGCCGGGGGAGCTGTGCGTTGTGGGGTATCTGCTGCAGAACAGAAGAGGTCAGCCGAGCCTGCTGGTCGTGGGATTTGAGTGGTCCGCTGGTGCGGCTGAGTAGGTACTGGCGGGACACGAACGGGCGAAGGAGGTCACGGAGACGGACGAAGAGCGGACGTTGTGGATACATACGGGAGACGAGGCCATCATGGACGAGGAAGAGTACCTCCGGAGTAAAGTCTCTTTGATTCTCTCGAATGCTGAATCTGGAACAAGATTACACAGTTGTCGGTAGGATGAAGGCTTGTCGCTCGGATTTGAATACCGGATATGGGATTAACTCGTTCGCAGGATCTAATCATCCGCGGAGGAGAGGTAGCGTCGTGTCTCAGGTTCTCAGAGGAATGACCGACATTCTCTTCAGAATCTATTTCCTGTGTAGATCGAAAACGTGGGCTCGAGAGAAACTGTCCTTTTGCATAGGCTCACCGTCTCTGAAAGGCGATCTTAACGAATCACGGGGTGGAAGAAGCCGCCGTCGTCGCCGTGCGTGACGAGAAATACGGCGAAGTCGTCGGGGCCTGGATCGTCAGGGCCTGGATCGTCAGGGCGCGCGGAACGTCAACTTCCCGCGAGGAAATCAGGGACACTGGTGTGAAATCCATCAATCCTCAGGTGGGCCGAGCGAAAAAGCGGTCCTCTGGCTATCTGGTTGTGGAGCATTCTCATGTACTCTCGAACAGAATGCGCCTGGGTGGATCTTCTTTGTCAGCGAGGACGGTGTTGAGTCGGAGCTTTCATAAAACGGCGAGTGGGAAGGTTCAGAAACATGTTCTGCGCGAATGGAGCAAGGAACTGGCGCGCGGCGATGTGGGGCAGAATATAGACGCGTCGCGTGTGCTGTTGTAAGTAAGCCACGTGATCGTGTTATTGTGCCTCTCCCTATGGACCATCTGATCAACTTTTATCTCGAAAAGTGAGCCTAGGTTGATTAAGATCCACATATATACGATATATGAGGTGAGTGATCCTCATTGAACAATGCGGACACGCGATCTTACTGGACATGCGTTTGTCTCGAGAGAGAAACCATGTTTTCCCTAAACAATCAACCCTAAATAGAGTTTCAAGTGCAGACCAATTCATAAGATATACATTCCTACAATCGATTTCAATGCTAGACACAGATCCCCATTCAATGAACAGCTGCATTGGGGCTTGTCTCTATAGAATGGAACGGTGGAGGAGATGGGGCAGTTTTTCGGGGTCGGCCGCGTTTCCTCGTCACCTGGGGAGGGCACGCGGATAGAGGCCTGAGCGCGTCCGTTCTGGGTTTTTTCCTCGCCCCTACTACGTCATCACTATCCTCGCCGTCGTCCTCGCCGTCGTCCTCACCCGCACCGGACACCGCCGGGTCGTCTCCGCGAGCGACCCACTCAGACTCCCACGCCTCGACCACGCGGTCGCCCGCATCGCCGCCGCCGACGGCCAAGCGCACGAGCGCCTTGAGCCCGGCTACCTCCCGCTCGTACCGCTTCTCGCGGCTCTTGAGTACGTGGATGTACTCCGTGGCCTTGAGCAGCACGGCCGCCTTTGAGTTCTTCCGTGCGACCTTGACGCCGTCCACCATCCCCTCCGCGTCGATCACGTCCATATCCGTGAGGTCGACGGGCGCAGAGGAGGACGGGTCGGAAAGCGCACGGCGGTCCAGGACGCGCAGCGCCGGCACGGCAGCGCGCAGGGCGAGGATGCGCGCGTGCAGGTTCGAGCGGTACCGGCGCTCCGTCGGGCTGCTCGTTTTCGGCCGCGGCGTCGATGGGGCGGCTGCACCGGTGAAGGGCGCGGCGCGGGCGCGGGGGGCGTTGGCGTCCGGTGCGGGATCGGTGTGGGGAAGGGGGGGCGCCGAGAAGACACCGGCGGAGAGCAGGACTCGGCAGGCCAGTTTAGCCGAGTCGTGTGTGGAGCTGGGGGCGATGTCGGCTGAGGCTGGTGGTCCGGGAAATGGCGCGGATTTCCGTGGCGGTGGCGAGTGGAATAGAAAAGCCGTTTCGTCCAGGTCAGGCAGCGGAGACAGCTGGCACGATGGCGTGGACAGAACCGATGAGCGGCCACTCCCACTTTCCCAATCGGACAACGGGGACTCGAACACCGGATGGGACTTCTCGAAGAGGAGATGTGGCGCGGTGGCGCACGAGGAGGAGGAGTAGTAACTTGGCGCACCGGGCTGTGGACACATGCCAGGGTCAAACAAGGTAGTACCATCGAGCACCGCGTCCGCGAGACCCGTCTCGATCTCCAGCGGCAGCGACCACAGTCTAGAAAGCGTACGCCAGTCCGGCGGGGGCGCGCAGTCCGTCATAGCGTCCACGCTCCAGTTGGAAAAGGTGGGTGAGGGATGCAGGAAACCCAGCGGGTCGCGGGCTACGAAGGCAGGTGCAGTGGACATCATAAGAGAGGGGGGCGGAGGACAAGGAATAATTCCTGGGCCCGCATTGCTGGTGGTTTTAACTGTTGCATTTCGAAAACCGACCAAAGCAAGTTAGATTGTTTGCGTCCGGTTCAAGGAGATAGCCGAGTGACCCACGGGAAGCACAGTTGTGACATCGTGTGCTGACAGTGCTGTCACAAAGCTTGCCTGAAACGGCGGTTATGGGTGTTCCCGCTGCCGATTTACGTTCTTGGGCGAGCCGTCGTTCTGGCACCCAGACGAAAGAGGCGACGAGGACTCCCGACGTCGCGTGAAGGAAGTCTTAGGATGTCCTGTCCTTCTTCTGAGCGAATCCTTTGGGCGAAGCATCGTCCCTGCAGCAAGTTCTACAGCGAACAGGCGGTGCATGACACCTTCCCTCGGGGGTTATGTCATGGCAGTCTCTGGACCCTGAATTTTCTACGAATTGGCGACTGTGAAAATTGTCGGTTCTACTCTTGTATCCTAGACCGTACTGGTCTATGCACTTGCCCTAAGCTGCCTTGTCGAATGTGTTTGCAAGCCTGCGATCATGTTTCAACATGCCGGTCCCTACCTTCATCGACCCTGGATGCACATGTGTGCGAAATTTTGGCACGCGCAGACCTCTGGCAGCGAAGTGGAAACAGTGCAGCTTCGTGGGCTGTCAACGCTGAATCGTTCGAATTTAGCACAAAGGAAGGAAGGACCTCGAGCGCTCCCTAAACGAGCCGCGAGAAGGCAGCTCAGGGGATATCTCATCGCCGGAGGGACAGATCAACTGAGGCCGGGTATTTGCACAATCGTCCGGTCGTTTCACCGGCTACTGTCTCTCGAGAAAAAGATGGGATGTGGAATGGGCGCTCAGCGTCGGCACAACCTATGGTCTGCGTGTCCTTCCGTGTCGTCTTGGACTTGAGGTCACTTCGCTTCACCTACGTCTTTTCCTTGCAAGCATGGTCTTCATTTATCTCCAGAGTCCAAACCACCTATCTGCTCACCAAGGACGGCATTGCGTTTGTTCTCGCACCTCTTGTTCGTTTGAAGATTTCCGGTACCACTGAGATTGATCTCTGCTGCACTCCAGATGGTCGTCTTGCTGGTGCTTCACAGCGCGTGCCTGCCAGTGCTCGGCCACAGTTTATCGCTCTGCGCGTGAATTTAACCGTCAGTTCATATGTTTGAGACCAGACCGAGTGGGTGGAAGAAGACGGAGAATCGGGTCTCCAGATCCAGCCGCCCCATCGTCTCTGGCCGCGTCTGCTTCGAGAATGCGAAGATGAACGCGCACTTGCGAGCAGGGCGCCGGCGATGAACATGTGATTGGGTCTCCTCGGCGCTCCGCGCTCGCGTGCAGTCTGCATTCTCCAGGTGTTTGCCCCTCGCATATGGTCCACGATGGTGTCCCCCCGGATTGGTCCGCCTGTTCGCTAGCGTTCGTCACATTTTCTTGTCCTCTTTTGAGTGTGCAACCCATCGGCCATCGTAGTCGTGTGTGTCGCCGCGCTCGCCAACAAAACCGGCGCCAGGTTCATCTGGAACTTCACTCACCCACGACCTCTTCGTGCGATCTTACACCCGGTAAATAGGAGTTCGCCACCTCTCTTGGCTTCCGAATTTCGCTGATTGCCCTGCAGGTGTGGCTCATTTTTGCTCGTCTTCAATCACTGTTCCCTTGTCTCTTTGAACCATTGTTCTATTTTCCATTTTCTTGACATTGGGATTGCTTCATAATTTTCCTATGTATCCCTTTTCGCATATCTATCTCTGATCGTGTATGTACTTGCGATTGCCTTTCCGATTTATTGGACTTCCTTCCCTGAGGTCGCACTCAACCTGTCATCTCATTGATCGCGTCAGGGTCATGTGATCGCGTCGCTGCTCTTCCCATTATACTACCTGGTTGTGCAAATCCATTAGGCTGTACTGTCATGGACGACCCGGAATGTCTTCCCAGAGAACCTCTCCCTATAAAACGACTACAAGAGTCGCTCATAAACCGCATCGCAGCAGGCGAAGTCAGTCGCTCCTCCGGCTGCTAGTACTTACACCAGGAATAGTCTGACCTCCCCCTCATTAGATCATACATCGCCCCGCCTCTGCCCTCAAAGAGCTCTTGGAGAACTGCCTCGACGCTGGGTCGACGACGATCCGCGTGACGGTCAAGGACGGGGGGATGAAGCTGTTGCAGATCCAGGACAACGGGTCGGGGATCCGCGTGCGTGGCGGCTGCTCGCTAGCATGGCACGGACTAACGAGACTCTTTGTTTGTACTCTAGAGAGCGGACCTGCCCATCCTCGCGGAGCGATTCACGACCTCGAAACTCACCACGTTTTCCGACCTGGCGCGGATCCAGACGTATGGCTTCCGTGGGTGGACACGCTGTATGCCGTGACGCGCGCGCTCTGAATTTCGGAAAAGGCGGAGAGGCGCTGGCTTCTATGTCCCACGTCGCGCGGCTTTCGGTCGTCACAAAGACCAAGACGGAGAGTTGTGCCTGGAAGTGCGTGTTGCTGATTCTACTCCTCGCTTCTTAGGGTTAAGCAGTGTGTAGGGCGCACTACGCGGACGGTCGCTTGACGGAAGGTAAGCCTGGACAATCGACAGAGCCGAAGCCGTGTGCAGGGAACGACGGGACGACGATCATTGTGTGTAGCTTGCCAAACGTGGATGTGCTCTGACAACTCTCGAGATCGAAGACTTGTTCTACAACACACCGACGCGACTCGCAGCATTGAGAAGCACTTCTGAAGAGTACTCGAGGTTGTTAGACGTAATGACGAAGTATGCGGTCCATAATCCAGCCGTTTCTTTCCTGTGCAAGAAGGTCCTGTCATTTAGTTTGACATGTCCTCTGCGCTGATTTTTCATTCTGTCTACAGGCTGGGTCACCATCCCCGGATCTGTCTACGCCGACGTCTTCCGATGTTCGGCAGTCGATCCGGCTCTTGTACGGACATTCGATAGCAAAGGACCTGTTGCATAGCGTCATTCAACCGACTGACGAAAAGGAGTCCTGGAAGGCCGAGTCCTTCTTCACCAATGCGAACTATCAGTCGAAGAAGACGATCTTCCTTCTGTTCATCAACAGTAAGCAGTCGATGCTTTGTGTCTATGGCTCACACGAACTCCGCAGACCGGCTGGTGGAATCCGCGAGGATGAAAAGGTCCCTAGAAGCAGTGTATAGCGGGATCTTGCCCAAGGGCACAGCTCCATTCATCTATCTCCGGTATGTATCCGACTCTCTATGCGACGACCTTGCTCCCGAACTGCAATAGACTGGACATCAACCCCCGGGATGTGGATGTGAATGTGCATCCGACGAAGAAGGAAGTCCATTTTCTGAACGAGGACGCCATCATCGAGCAGATTGCTAATGGGCTGCAACGCGGCCTGGCTGAGAAGAGTCAATCGAGGGTGTTTGAGTACCAGGTGCGGAAGCGACGCGTCGTTGGTCAGTCCAGCTCATTCTAACGCGAAACGCAGACACTCCTTACTGGCGGTATTGCTGAGCCAGAATCGAAGCAGAGGAAAGGGAAAGAGCGCTCTGCTCAGGAAGAGGAACAGGACATTCCGACGCGCGAGTTACCTTTCATTATCAGCGTCCTGGCACTAAGCAGTCACAGCGCCGAAGAAGACGTCGTCTCAATATAAAGTACGGACGTCGATGCAAGACCGCACGCTCGAGTCGATGTTTCCTGTCGCGAACCCGTCGCAAATCGCATCAGGAAGCAGGGACTCCGATTCCCAAGCGCCTGGGACGCCGAATACGACGAGGGCGAGGGAGATCAAAGAGTCGGAGTGCACGTTGACGAGCGTAGCCTCGCTGCGCCAGGCGTTGACGAAAGGGAAACATCGCCGTGCGTGGAGTGTTTTAGGGACCGATCGTTGCGTGCACTCAGACCACATAGAGCTCACCGAGATCCTGGAGAAACACACCTTCGTCGGCATCGTGGCGCTGGACAAATGTCTATCTCTGATCCAGCACGCGACCAAGCTGTATCTTGTCAACCACGGCGCGCTGAGCGAAGAGTTGTTTTACCAGCTGGGCCTGCGGCAGTTCGGGAATTTCAACCGGCTGAAGTTGGATCCACCGCCACCGCTGCGGACGCTCATTGAGATTGCGGTAGAGGTCGAGGATACGTCTGCGAGTGAGTTGAGCAAGGTTGACATCGTTGGGGTGCGTTGCCAAAGCTTGGTTTCTGTACAGAATGCTCAAGATCCTCTAGAGAATCGTGGATACTATCATGGCTCGGCGTGATATGCTGTCCGAGTACTTTTCTTTTAACGTGTCGGCGTCGGGGCTCATAGAAAGTCTCCCTCTCTTGCTGAGGGATTACTCCCCCAATCTGGACAAGCTGCCCAGTTTTCTCATGCGTCTTGGGCCGCAGGTGAGTCTGCTTGCTGCCAAGCACGGTGATGCCGGCTCAAGACAACTCTGAAGGTCAATTGGACGTCCGAAGCAGAGTGTTTCGAAACCTTCTTGCGCGAGCTGGCGTACTTCTATGTGCCTGGCCCTCTGGTAGACTTCCCGGACGACGATTCGCCCGACGCCAAGACCAGAGAAGAGCAGGAGAAAGCCGAGCGCTGGCAGATCCAGCACGTCGTGTTTCCCGGTCTGCGCAGGTATCTGATTGCACCGAAGACGCTCTTGGACAGGGACGTCGTGCAAATCGCAAGTCTACCAGAGCTGTACAAGGTTTTCGAACGCTGTTGAGTTGCCTATATTACAGAGAGTGCGTTTCGGGGGTAGCGTTACAGGCGGGTCCGGCATGGCCGTAGAATCGAGTCACACTTTGATGCTGAGAGAGTCAGAATGATTCGAACCTTCCGGGTCCTTCGATAGCGGAGATCTGCACCAAGATGTGGCTGCGTATGTGGCGGTGCCGTCCTATATACGGCCTTGCAAATCTCTTCTTTGTCCAACGAAACCGAACCCGCTTCTTCCCAGTTGTACTTCTAGCCCAAGGGCGGGGAACGCTCATCGCAAGTTCATAGTCACTTCGCCAGACTTTGTGCAAGTCCTCTCTGTAGCATATCTTACGTACGTACGTGCTGGCCTGCTTGCCTCGCACCAGCCAGGCTGACAGATTGCTCGAAATCAGTGCAACCCAGTAATCCAATACTAATCGCCTCCCAGTCGCTCACTGTGAGCTGCTTTCTCTGCTCTACTGGTCTCGAGCTCACTTTTCCAGCTAACAACGATAAGGCCACCGATAACGACAGGAACAGCATCCCCACCCCCGAACGCGACCCCCCAGCGCATGGACGGCCCTGATAACTTGGCCAATCAGCGCTCTCAGAACAACCCTGCCACGAGCTCCGCGGGACCTGCTCCCGGCGTCGAGCGTAGACCGAACCACCGCACGCGAACGAAGCGGCCGAATCGCAACGCTGGTGGGAATGGTGGTGGGAATGGGAATGGGAATGGGAATGGGAATGGGAATGGGAATGAGGGCCGCCCCGCCGATGCACCGCGTCAGGGGCAAGGGCAAGGTCAGAGACGTGCGCGAGGCGGTGGTGGAGGTGGCGGAGGTGGAGGGAACGCGCGCCCACCTGTGGCTGGCGAGCATCAGCATCATGATGGTCCTTCCAACAACTGGCGCGCGCGTGATGCTGACGGACCATCGAGACGTGGGCGGGCGGCTCGGTTCAACGCGGGTCTTACCTCTGATGCACCCAGCGCACATGCGAAGCCTGTTCCCAAAGCCAAGCCAGCCCCAGCGCCAGTTGCGGACGACCTGACCTCTATCCTGACCGCGGCGTTGAGCACGCCGCCGTACCCGGATTGCGCGATCTGCTTCTCTGCGATCCATCCCGCACAGCCCACGTGGTCCTGTTCGCCGTCGATCGCGATCCTGGAGTCGGGGAAGCAGCAGTACTGCTGGACCACCTTCCACCTCAAATGCATCCGATCCTGGGCGGCCAAATCAGTTAAAGATGTGGCCGATGCCTGGGCAGCCCGGGGGAGCCCGAGCGCGGCGGGGAGTGGCGCTGCCCGGGTTGCCAGGCGCGGCGGGCGCCGGTGCCGAAGGAGTACCGGTGTTTCTGCGGCGCGCAAGGATCGCCGAGTCCGGGCCGAGTGTCGACACCGCACTCGTGCGCGTCGCCGTGCAGCCGGGCGCGCTCGACGTGCGCGCACACATGCCCGCTCTTGTGTCACCCCGGGCCATGCCCGCCGTGTCGGATCACGACGGAGGTGCGCTGTGGGTGTCCCAAGGGCGTCGTTCTGGCGCTGCGGTGTGCGACGGACGAGGATATCAGCTGTGGCAGTATATGCGCCCGACCTTTGGCATGTGGGAATCCACAGCACACATGCAAAAGAACATGCCATACCGATGCATGTGACGTCTGCCCTGAACTCGAAACTGTGCGCTGCTACTGTGGGAAGGAGGACAAGGTGGTCGCCTGCGGAGAAGGATCTGCGGTGTTCTGTTCGCGCGGCGACAACGAGTCGTGGTCTGGTCGATTTTCCTGCGACGGTCAGTGCGAGCGCGTCTTCGACTGTGGCATCCACCGCTGCAGCCAGCCCTGCCATCCGTTCAGCGGCCCAGCTGCAAGATGCCCCCGGTCGCCTGAGTTTGTCAAGAGCTGTCCCTGCGGTCGTCGGCCGATCGGAGCCGACAGCAAGAATGCCTTTCCGCCACGTGACAATTGCAGTGCGCCGATCCCGACTTGCGACTCTGCTTGCGGCAAGGTGTTATCCGGATGCGGGCACGCGTGCACCGCTAAGTGTCATCAAGGCCCGTGCCCGCCGTGTTCTGAGCGGGTGTCCAGACCGTGTCGCTGCGGATCGACTGTCAAGCAGCTCTTCTGTGGCCAGGAGCACGAAACAGACATTCTGTGCGAGAAACCGTGTGCTGCACTCAGAGCATGTGGCCGTCATCGATGCGGTCGGATTTGCTGTCCCCTGGCAAGTGTGGCTGTATCGCAGCAGCAGAAAAACAAGTCCAAGCGCCATCGCGCTGCTGCAGCTCAAGAAGGACTGGGCGAAGAGGTCGGTGGATTGCACGAGTGTGATATCGTGTGCGGGAAAGTGCTTGGGTGTGGTCTTCATCGCTGCGAAATGAAGGACCACAAAGGACCCTGTGCTCCCTGTTTGATGAGCAGCTTTGAAGAGGTATTCCTGCTTGCATATTCCTGTGAAAGATAAGCTAATGACATCCACAGCTTATTTGTCCCTGCGGTCGGACAGTGCTCGAACCTCCCATTCCGTGTGGCACCCTCATTCAATGCTCGTACCAATGCCCGCTGCCAGCTCCGCCGTGCGGGCATCCACGAACATCGCATCTGTGTCACTCGACGACTCAGGCCTGCCCGCCCTGTCCGTTTTTGACGACCAAGACCTGTATGTGTGGGAAGAAGGAGGTGGGAAACGTCCGCTGCTCCCAGGAACGTGTTGCCTGTGGCAATGTCTGTGGCAAGTTGCTCGGGTGTGGCTATCACCACTGTGAGCGGCTGTGCCACTCGTCGGAGGAAGGATGTGGCGCCTGCACATCCAACTGTGGGAAACCACGGAAACTTTGGTGCGCTCTGGCTCAGTCATTCGAGTGGAACATGCTTAATTCTTAACAGCCTTCCTCTTATTCACGGATGCACTCTCCCGTGCCACGCACCTTCATCTTGCGACGAATCGAGTCCCTGCTCTTCCACCATCACACTCGTTTGTAGCTGCGGTCGCATTCGTCAGCAAGTGCAGTGCGGCAAAAGCTCGATGAGTGCGGGGCGGGAGGGCCAGCAGCTGAAATGCACCAACGACTGTCTTGTCGCGAAGCGCAACGCCCGACTCGCTGACGCCCTGGGTATCACGAGCGAGAGCAGGGAGAAGCAAGCTGCTGTCACGTGGCCTGACGATGTACTTTCATTCGGACGAGTGAACCCGAGATTTGTGGGTGTCGTTGAAAAGGCCTTCGCAGAGTGAGTATTTTAGTTCGTCAGCCTCTCCGATTATGTTCTGATTAGATCCAGCTTCGTCAATAGCGACAAGAAGACACAGGTCCTGCCCCACATGCCACCAGATCGACGCAAATTTGCACATGATATCGCGACTGTTTATCGGATGGACACACAGATGGTCGATCAGGAGCCCCATCGCAGCCTCCAGCTCATCAGACGCTTCGATACCAAGATGCCGACGCCGCTGCTGAGCGCCGCTATCTCAGCTGCAGGACCACCCTCCAGCCTCGGGAAACTCGCAGATCTGAAGATTGCTGCTACGCCCAGCTCGAGCGGTGCCTGGCGCTCCGTGGCCAAGCCCCCTGCGCCGATTGCCGTCCCCCCTAGTGCAGCGATGGCCCGGGGATGGGCGAGTGTGCAAAGTCCTGTCTCGCAAGTGCATGTTCCGAGGCAGACTCCGCCGGTCGTTCCCAGTGCAGTGCCCGCGGCGGTCGATCACGGCGGCAGCAGCCTAAACTCGCCGGTGTCGGATGATTGGGAAGACGATAGTTGATTGGTGACTTGTCGGTCTATTTTGTGATGCAGTTTTGGTGCACAGGTCAATGAGAGTTGTATGACGCTATTTCGACTTCAGGGAGACGGGGCTAATAGCACGTGCGAAATCTCTGGTATCTGATGATCCTCAGTACTGCTCATTCGTCCGCGAATTTGTCGGGCGGAACTATTTTCATTGGTGGCCTTGTGGTCTGCTTATGCATACCAGGGGCTTGTAAGCAGTGATAAGGTCGTTCCGAATCGTTGAGACAACCATAAGGGGATCGTAACTCTATGTCATGAGCGTAGATGTGAGTCAATGAGGTTCTTCCAAGTCTTCCGAGTAAATGAACCAATCACAATTACCTCCTGCTATGTACATATATGCGGGGTCTCCGGAGATGGGGAAACGTAAACAAAACTCTCGTGGAAGTTCATAACGCACGGCCGATTGGAGCGTGATCGAAGTGGCCTTCGGCGTTGGATAACTGCAAGATCTGCCCTTCGTGGACTACTTGGACTAGGAGCCCCCGCCGCAGGAATTTTGATTGATCCGAAGGGGGTCCCACGCTCGGCCTCTACTACGGCACATGTGTGTAGCTGTGCTTGTGTTCTGCTTTCTGGTTCTGCAGTCTGGCGCAAATGTCTTCGAACGATCGCGCTCAAAACCCACCCAATTTGTGGAATAAGTCAGTTGCGGAGGTAGGCGATGACATCCGTCTACATCTATCTAGCGCCGTTGCGTGCCGTAAATGTCATCGCTCTTGGTGCGGCTGCGTGTTGCTCTACTAGTCGACCTCGGTTCAGGGTCTCGAGTGGGGCTGGAGATTCGCACCAAATGCACGTCCTAATCTCTGCTCGGCTCTCCCCTCTGTTTCCCCGCGGCACCGACATTTGCCCGCGTCGAGCTTGTGGAGATGATAGAGTCAGGAACGACAACACTCATCGGCTGGCCGGCAGTGCCCCTTCAATGCAGGCTGTACAGAGAGGCGTTCCACATGTCGAGTTCAGACATCGAGGAGAATGGAAATGGAATGTGGCTCGCTCATTCTATGGCGCGGTGTCTGCTGACCTGACCAGGAGCTGACACGGGCGAGTCTCCCCGCCGCTACTATCGGCCCAACGCTCTGTCACCGGACCCTGCGATCTTTCATGGCTATGTGGGCGAGGTGTGATAGGTTGGGCTGGTAGGGCCGGCAATATAATTTGCGGTGCGCGGTCGATGTTAGGATAGCGTCTGCCGCCGTGCCGTCCAGCGGCTGGGCCATGGAGATGGCAATCCGAGTCCAGTGCGGCTCCGTCTATTCATTCGCAGATCCCGCCAAGCCCCGATGTGTCTTCTTCTTGCCCCGCATTAACTGAGAGTCTCCCCCCTGTCATGGACTCATGGCTGATCGGGGGCTCTGCCATCACTCCCGGCTTCGCGGACACATAAAAACGGCAGACGCGTTGAGCTTATTCTCGTGCACTCTTCCATCGCGAACATGCTGTTCTCCGTCCTTGCCACTGCGCTGTTTGCTGCTGTCGCGCTTGCGGCTCCTGAGCAGGAAGACATCGGGCGAAGACAGGGAGGCCCGAAAGCTAATGTCTACTCGGCGTGCAAGAACAAGAACCAGGTCGCCCTCACTTTCGTGCGTCGCCTTGAGCTGTATGTTGCTCGGCTGTCCGCACGCTGAAATTTTCCATGTAGGATGATGGACCGTGGGTCTATCTGTGAGTGACATGTCGCTTACACTCTCCGATTCGTACTCAATCAATGCACTGAAGATACGATGTCAGCAAGGCACTTGTCGCTGCCGGCGCTGTGGGCACTTTTTTCTTCAGTAAGCAGCTATTTTTTCGTGTGCACCTTCGATCTTTCTCATCGGAATTCCAGACGGGAATAACTGTAAATTGGCCCTTCTGCGCACATACTTCCGCGTTTGAATCTGATCTTCTTCGGTTACATAGACGCGTGCATTTACGACGCTGACGAGCAGAAACGCGTCAAGTACGCCTATGACCACGGCCACATGATTGGCTCGCACACCTGGGCGCATTTGGATCTGTCGACGCTCACTTGGGACCAGAGTCAGTTTTTGTCTTATCTTTCTGTTGTTAGGTATCCAACTCATCGTTCCAGTCCACGATGAGATGTGGCGCGTCGAACGTAAAAGCTTCTCGTAAACACCATCAGAGTGCCACTTACCTGTCCCCCGTCAGTCGCTTTGTCCCGGATTATCGGCGTCACACCCGCATTCATGAGACCGCGTAAGTCTAGTCTCTATTTAGCTACTCGGGTGGTTCAAGCTGACGCAAATCAGCTTACGGGAACTACAACGATCTCGTTCGGGAAGCTGCCTTCATCCGAAACCAAAGCCTAGTTATCTGGGACTTTGAGTGAGTTTCGGCGACTCAGGGATGATCTGTTTGGTTGATTGAGCGCAGTTCTGGGGACTCCACGGGATCCACCGTCACGCAGAGCGAAGCTGTCTACGACCAGGTCGTTGCCGCGCATCCGAGCAACATCCTTGCCCTCAACCACGAGACTTACGGTGAAGCAATTTGCAGCCCGAACCGGTCTTTGATGCTCATGCCTGCTTCAGAAACGACCGCGCATCAAGTTCTTCCATATGCTATCAAGAAACTGCAGGCGGCGGGTTACGAGCTTGTGACTCTCGCGACATGCTTGGGACTGGCGCCATACCATAGCGTTGGAACACCTCAGACCCCTGATGTACGTCACGAGCAGCTTCTTGCTATTGCTGATCTTGCTTTTTCTGATTCGATTCACCAGGCGAGTTGGACTTGTTGATCATTCACTCCTCCTAGTTTGTTTCAGAATCGATGAAATTGATCTTGGACGTGATAGATACTTGAACCTGAGTCTTAGTCACAAGCACGTTCAAATGGGACGTACGATGATTTCGTGTCGTCGTGAGGATGGTCATTGATGGTCAGGTGATCGCGTTGAAGCTGCAGACCAACCAATCATCAGTTTACCCTGACATAGTGGATTTTGGTAGATTGATGACCGGCGCGGTCCCAATAAGGAACCGCCAGGGTCCGTGCTATAAACATGCATCAGGTGTATGCTACCGGGCATCCAATCAACTTTTCCTCCTCGAGCACCCAAAGTAGCACCCACTCTATGTTGTTGTGCCCCAGCAACCCGCTGTAAGAAGTCCAGATATCCCGAGAGGTCTGCAGAGGTCGAGATGATGGCGCGATTCAGACAAGGGCCCGACCGTTCCCATTCGTTGTTGGGCCAGAGACATACAGGTCAGGTGCCAGTCGATAAAGCTCCGTCGCACGCTCTACTCCTGAACTTGGAATACGAGTTTGGCGACCGCGCTGTATGAGGTCAAAATCCCTTCCATGGATCAGCAACGCTAGAAACTGCTCGGGTAAACTCACAGTTCTCGCCGTGCCGTGCGTGATGAGGAGGACATCAACGAGGAAATCTTGTCGAGTTACAGCAAATCTGACGGCCTCATGCAAGCCAGGGCGGCATGGGCCACCCGTCTCCACTCGCCCCTTCCGCACAGGCGGCAAAGTCTCCATTCTCTCGGGGTGCGCTTTCGGAATCTCTCGTCGTAACGCTATAACTCGACAGAGAGACAGTGCGTAGAGAGCAGGAAGCGCGTCACAACTTTGCAGTGGACAGGCACGGGGACCTTCAGATCATCTCGCAGCTTGCTCGAGTCTATGTCCGCTGCGGCTAAAGATACGCTGTCATGCACGATTTCAAGACCTATTTCACATTATCGGGTGTTCGTGTCATTGAGGTTCTTTCAAAAAACCGCTGTTACCGGATTAGAGATTTCAGCTCTGGTTCTCTCTGGAAGAAACCCAAGCTCTCGGCTGCGCATTCCAGCCGCAAACACTTGGTTAGCCACCGCAAGGGAGACGTTTGAAGCTCAGCTCTTCATGTGGACATCCTGTGTATTATGACTCCATTCCGTTGATACAAATCCTAATCATAATACAGCAAAGCAACAAAAAGAGCAAGAGTTCGATCATCACAAAGGCTCCAAAAGCGCGGCGTCTTGCTTGTATCGCAAGGCGACCGAATCACCGATTATCAATTTCGTACGCGGACTCCCATCCAAAAACGATAACGGACCCGTTACCTTCCCGCGATAATTCTCGGTGCGCGCAATCACTGCAAGAAAGCGCTGGACCTCGTCGTCGTCAACCCCCAGGCTCTGGAGCCATGGAGCCAAGATCCCCTCCTTGAAGCGCGCATCCAATCCCGCCGAGTCCGTCGAAGCAGCAACCAAGCGGATAGTCTTCATTCGAACTGCGATGATGTAGTCTATAGAGTCGCGACCGAAGAGATTCCGGTCCCAGCCGTTCAGGATCGACATGTCTGCGCTGCCGGAGAATCAGCCCCACTGCAAGTGCGAGTGACTGACGCTGCCGCACTCACGTAAACGCATAGCCCAGCGCCGAACCATCGCTCAGCCCGGTCGCAAGAGGAGCCCAGTCGAGAATGCTTTCGAGGAAATCGCACGACGGGTGGAAGAAAAGAATGAGGACGTTGGATACGTTCCGTATCTGTAACAGAGACCACAGGTGGCTCGGACCGCGAAGGTTGTTTGGTCTGTCGTACAATCCCTGGCCTTGCATTGCGCGACCACTGGGGTGGTTCTTCGTTGCCTTGAACGACCCGATGTCCATCTGCATCACCGCAGAGAGATCGTTACTCTTCAACGTCTTCATGCACGGTAAACAAAATGGAACGACTGGTGCCGTCTCGTGGTAGGACCTCAGCAGATTCTCCATCCCGACCTTGTGGATCAAGAACAAATCCTCAAAAAACCCTGTTCTGTATTGACCCCTGACAGACATCACATACAGGCCTGCGATTGCTGAGTATCCGGTGTCGGGAAGAGGAGCCGGGGTCGAATCGTGGCGGACGAGTAGACGGCATCGAACTTTTTTACGGTAGAAGATCTTATCGGGCCAGGAATCCCCCATCTCGGACGCTTGAATTGAGAAATACGGCGCAGCGCGTTGTGTGGCCTTGATCAGGAGACTCCGGGAGATGGTCGATGAGTTCACAGGCAATTTGCGCTGGAGATGCTGAAGAATGTCTTCTTCGATGTAACTGCGAAGACTCGGAGGTAAGATCTATGACCTCACTGGGAGTGAACCACATACTTGACCAAAGGATGAAAAGAATAGTCTGAAATCAGCATGGCTGCGATCTCGAGCACGGAGTCAGCCAAGATGCCTCCATTGGCACACACAGCTGCGCGCCACTTCCCCTTGGCCATCTCCGCGTCTTCTTTGAACCACGTGCGGAATATATCTTTCCAACGCTCATCGAGGATAGCAGCCCGGATATATGCGCAGGTGCGAGCCAATTGGAGGACCGCCAGGGGGCAGTCCTCGATCAGCTCTTTGACAATCAGATTCCAGAGCTTTACACGCGTTCAGTGTATGCGCTGAGGAGAGCAAGACGGTAGCTGACCTCTACGGGCGTACGTATTGCGGGAGGCGACATGATGAAGAGGGTAAGACTGTCACAGTGCTGACCTTTCTTCAGCGTGCTTCTTCGCCACTTATCGCGCCCATGTGATCGGCACGTGATGGAAGTAATGTCCCCCAGAGGCACGGAGATCGCTTCTTCCTCATCCACCATGGCCCCTGATAATCAGTTCACAATAATAGTGCGCGAACGTATGCAAGATATGATCAGGAGAGACAGGACACTTCCCTTGCAGCTTGCGTGAGTCTTCATCAGCTCCCTGCATCTGAACGCGATTTGATGGACTTTTGCTCAGCTGGCGTCGTGCAGCATGTCGAGAGCTGGCCTTCCCGACGGTTCGGAAGTTGAATCTTGAAGAGAGGCCGAATGAAGGTAGGTCCGTGTTATTGCATGGATATTGTCTCTCAGTACGCATGGCAGAGTGCGCCGACAAATCACAGGAGAGAAAGAATGGATGAGCGAGGATATACGGCGTGGATCTCTCTAGCTTCAAATGCTTACCCGTGTTCCAATCATGCTTTAATTATGCTTTGACTCTCATCATGAATGCTCTTGAGCTGGAGGTGGCAAAGTCAGACGGATCCGCATGTTACTGTGATCCTGACCGTCGACGAGGTCTAAAGAGCGAGCGACTCTATCCTCAGTATGCTTTGAGTCGATACATATATGGACCACCCAGCATGGAGTGGAATAGCATATATCGTCGCCTCAAGGATCACAATGATGATACGGCCGACGCGCATACACTGAGTCTCCGATGCCGGGAAGAGTCTCCCCGCTCTTTCTCCTGTGGATTTTTGTGAGTTTAGGATCTCAAGATCGTCATTCTGAAGAGATCAAGCGCTGATTTATCTTCCACTTCGAGGAAGCATCGCTTGGCGTGGATCCGGTTACCCTGCCGTCGGTTAGATAAGATTGCGAAGCAGCAATGATCGATAATCCCCGATAGCTGCTCAGATTTCTGAGCTATGAATCCGTCACTAAACGTTCTTTCCAATCTCATGCGGAACTAAAGAGACATTTGAGAAGAGACTCGAGGAGATCGACATGCGTGAGAGCTGGTCGCAAGGACAACCCTGTCATTAGAATAGAGTCACTGAGTGTGTCACGCGGCAGTCCGGATTGGTGACCGCACGCGTTTAGCTTTTAACTTCGATCACCCTTGAATGGATCAGGGAGGCTCTTTTTTGGTGTTACACATCCCTCGCTGAGAAAAGTCACTGACAAATTTCTCGTGGGAATAGGCATAGTTGAATCCGACGTGCATCCTCTGAAACCTGCCATTCGTTTCGTCCTCGATGTCTGCTCCAGATTCCACACATGCATACAACTTTCCGCCTTTCCCAGAGCCTCCCACGGGTATCGTGATTACCCCATTCAAAGCGTTTGTAGAGTGCGGGACCCAAATCACTCGCGGCGAAGATGGTATTGAGCGAGACGGATTGGGAATACCCACAATTCTGTTGGCGACGACCAGGTCTGACGGACTGAAGCGCAAAAGCAAAAAGAAGAAGAATAAGGGAATCGGCGTCCGCAAAGGACCGTGGTGGACCGAGTACGAAAAGGAGAACGAAGTACAGGGGACGAGAATCGATTACCGCGCGTGAGTTCCTATGTATGCCATCTACCTGCTCTCCAGTAAGTTGACCATGGCAGGATATCAACAACTTTGGATCGAGTTCATCAGGCTATCGAAGACTTTGGAAAGTAAGTGCAGAGCAATCACCAGTGCTTCATCTCCGTTAATCGTCTCCACTTGCAGGACATATGGAGTCATAATGGATGAAATCACTCAGAGCCATACCATCTGGCGTCACGTAAGTCGAGTCATCGAAGGAAGACTGCATCCATTAACATCTGCAATCTAGTTCAAAATGTTCATTGGAGTCGAGAATCGAACCTTGACTGGGCCTAAAACTGTTGATGACCATGAAGACGATATCTACTTCGACGATGAAGAAACCAACGATTTCCTAATGACTACCGAATCTAACCTCGATCCGACGGGGCTCAGTGGCGAATCACCAGTCCCGTTTCCCATTCCACATTTCGAAGGGGTGGCCCACGATCTGATGTCGGGGGACAGCACCACTGCTAAGATCGAGGATGTTCAAGACCCCAAATTGCAAGCGCTCATTGATGATCCCAGACGCAGTATCCAGACTTTCCTGTCTTCGGAGATGCACAATTTGGGTCACTTGTGGTAGGTGCAGTAAAGTTGCGTCCGATTTTGGTCTCTTAAATTCCCTGTCAGGAGCCCGATAGCATGCAAAGCTGCCCCGCACATCCTGCGAATTTTTGTGTTCTTTCTCATTCGGAATCAAGTCACTGGGCCGGAACGCGTCGAGAATCTGCGCGCGGCTCTACCAGTCATTGACAGAGCGGGGAAGGAGCTCGCTTTGTTGAAAGTTGTGGCTCACGCTCTGCCAGACGCATTCGGGGAGGCATGTCAGATGCACTGGGGCACGAAGCAGGAGACCCTCAAGTTCGGTGTGGATCAAGATCAGGATTGGGATATGCAAGAGGATAAGATACGGACAGAGGAGGCTCAGGATTCCACGGGGGACCCGTCTGGCTGGGGCGCCGATGCAGGCGGCTGGGGAGGAAGCGGCGGCTGGGGTGGGGGGACGGATTCTGGATGGGCTGACTCTGCACCATCATGGGGGTCCATCGTCGAGCCCAAGCCTGTGGTTGATCCGCGACCCACACTTCTCGGTCTTTTTGGACCTCTTGCGCTGAGCAACACACATTCACCAGGGCTAGTCGAGTATAGCATGCGGCGGATTGTCTCTTTCTCTGCTCCCAGATACGACAGCACCCCTGGCGGTGACCCAGTCGAGTCGTTTCTCAAATCAAAATTGCACCAACTCGTCCTCGCTCCCTGGCCTGATTGGGATTCTGACGAAGAACGGGGGTCGCCTCAGATGCTGCCGACGTCCTCTGGGGATGCGCAAGGTCACGACATGAGTCGAGACCACATCACAGTGCTTGTCCATATCGAAGATGGGTCAGAGAATGCGACCGTTCTAGAGCAAGCTGTCGGGATGGGAATACGCGGTCGTTGGGTGCAGCTTGCTCGAGTATCTCCGGACGCGGAATCCACAAACGGGCAAGGTTTGTTGTGGTATGTTGATGCGATGGTCATGAATATCCCCAGCTTCTGGATAATCGTCTAGCGACTGAATCGATCTTGTGTACATATCCGTGATCTGACCTTCATCGTTGACCAATCCACGCAGTAGTTGTACTCAACCTGAGAGTGGCGGTGTTGATGAGTGACGTGACGAATCAGTGACTAGCGCTGGACGCGCGTCGCGTTGTTTCGTCCGTTCATTTAACCACCATGCCCGACTCTACTGAATACGCGATCGAAGTCCCCTCCGAGGATCCTAAGAAGAAGAACGAGAAGGACAAGGAGGAGGGATCATCGAAGCTGTCTAAGGACGGCAAAGAGAAAAAAGCGGATGGCAAGGATGCTGAAGGGGACAGTGAAGAGCTCGTGTGTTCTCTCTACTTTCTCCTGCAGGCACGATGCTGAGGGTTGTTTCTCCAAGTCAGAAGAGGACCTTCAGCTGAGGAACGAGCTGGAGATGCTTGCTGAACGGTTGAAGGTATGTTCTCCATGCGTCATTAAGTCTACGAATACTGATCACACTGTGATCAGGAATCGAATACTGACTTATACGGACCGGCCCTAGAAACCCTACGGACGCTCATAAGAACATCCACCTCCTCTATGACCTCAGTCCCCAAACCTTTGAAGTTCTTGCGACCGCTATATCCCGACCTTCAAGCACTTTACGAGACATGGCCAGTATCAGAGAACAAGGTCGGTTGGTTTTTTCCATCCTGTTACTCTACTTCAATCCAATTTGGTAGTCGCTTTTCGCCGATATCCTCTCCGTCTTGGCCATGACATATTCCGACACGCAGCCGCGTGGAACACTGCGTTACCGCCTTCTCGCGTCTTCTATGCGACCTGCGGGTGCTCCGCTTGCGGATCCGGGAAGCTGGGGCCACGAATACGTGCGCCATCTCGCTGCAGAGCTGGGAGAGGAGTACAACATCCGCGAGCAAGAAGACGCATCGGAGGTCTCCGCCGATAAACCTCAGCCCATCGGCACTATCGAAGAGCTTCGGACCCTGGCCAAGGAGTGTTCCGTCTTCCTGATCATGCACAACGCAGAGCCGGATGCGGTAGACCTCTTGGAGGAGATGGAGATTGTGGACGAGATCGCCAACCTGGTAGACAAGGACACTTTCACGCGGGTCTGCCAATACATGGTTCGGTATGCTCATTCCCTATCTTTACGGCAATTCAGTCTGATCAGATACTAGTTGTGTGAACCTCTTGCCGCCTCCCGATGACATCTCCTTCCTGCGAACTACGCACAAGATCTACGTCAAGTTCGATAAATTTCCTGAAGCTCTGGCTTTGGCCATCCGACTGGGCGACCCGGAACTCGTTAGGGAAGACTTCAACGCTCCCGCTAATCCGTGAGTACAGACAGGCCCGCCATACGCAGTCCATCTTAATTTGGGACTGTAGACTAATGCAGCGACAACTGGCGTTCATCATCGCTCGCGCTCAGGTTCCGCTGGAGTGGCTCCGAAGCTCCACAGAGGAGGTTGACGAGGACGCCGACATCTTGGACTCATTTTCTGAAGACCTGAAGGAGTGTCTCTGCAACACTCGAATCAGCGGACACTTCCGCGAGTTTGGCAAAGAACTCGGCGTGACGGATCCTAAAAGCTTGGAGGATGTGTACAAGTCTCACCTCGAAAACACCCGTGCGAATTGCCTATAAATATCTCTGAGCCTTTCTGACATTTTCTCCCAGGACCGAACGCATTAGCAAACGTCGATTCCGCTCGGGGCAACTTGGCCGGCACTTTTGTCAACGCTTTCGTCAATGCTGGTTTTGGAAACGACAAGCTGATGGTCGAAGCAGAGGAAGGCAACAGCTGGGTGTACAAGAACAAAGAACATGGTTCGTGAGATTGTTCAGGGTCGTCATTTCACTGACCCAGGATCTCAGGCATGCTCAGTGCAACCGCGTCGCTGGGGCTAAGTCTTCTTTGGGACACGGACATGGGTCTCAGCCACGTCGACAAGTACACATACTCCCCTGAAGAATACATCAAAGCTGGAGCGTTACTGGCAACCGGCATCCTGAACTGTGGGGTCCGTACTGAAGCCGATGTCGCCAAGGGTCTGATTGGGGAATACGTCGAGAACAAGTCGGTGCCGCTCAAGACGAGTGCAATCATCGGTTTGGGTTTGGCGTACATCGGCTCCCATCGCGAGGATCTGCTGCAGCTATTGCTCCCTCTTGTGTCAGACGATGTGACGATGGAAATTGCAAGTCTAGCCGTGCTGGCTCTGGGTTTCATCTTCACTGGAAGCGAGAACGGAGAAATCACGGGGACTATCTTGCAACTATTGATGGAGAAGGCCGAGAGAGACGATGCTGGACTGGGCGAGAAGTGGAGTCGGTTCATGGCTCTCGGTTTGGGATTGCTGTATCTTGGTGGGCGCGGTTTGTTTCCCTCAATTTCCGTCCAGTCCTCACGTCGGCTCAGGTTTGCAAGACTCATCTGATACCACTCTGGAGACACTTAAAGTCATTGAGCACCCAGTGTCGAAGACAGCGCAGATCATCGTAGAAGCGTGTGCGTTCGCGGGTAGTGGAAACGTCCTCAAGGTTCAGGAGATGTTGCATCAGTGCGATGAGCACATCGTCCCGAAAGAGGGCGAAAAAGATGACAAGAAGGAGGGCGAGAACAAAGAGGAGACCAAGGAAGAGAAACCGGATGACTCTTTCCAGGCCTTTGCTGTGATTGCCGTCGCCTTGATTGCCATGGGCGAGGACATCGGTGCTGAGATGTCTTTGCGTCAGTTCCATCATTTGGTGCGCCGTTTGACGATATCTCTGTCATTCACGCTCCTGACGAGTATGCTGCAGATGCACTACGGTGAACCTGTCATTCGGAAAGCAGTTCCACTAGCGATGGGTCTAGTCAGTGCCTCGAACCCCCAGCTGCCCATCCTCGACACGCTGTCCAAATACAGTCATGACAACGACCTGGCTGTCGCGCTCAACGCCATCTTTGCCATGGGTTTGGTCGGTGCCGGCACAAACAACGCTCGGTTAGCCCAAATGCTGCGGCAGTTGGCAGGGTACTACTACAAGGAGCCTGACTGCTTGTTTATGGTCCGAGTTGCCCAAGGCCTGGTGCATATGGGCAAAGGCACCATTGGGCTGCATCCGTTCTTCGCTGACAGGACTATTATGAGCCGCGCTGCTATGGCTGGATTGTTGGCCACGATCACTGCTTTCACGGATGCCAAGAGCTGTATGTCTTTGTCTGGTTTCATTTCAATAACTGATCATCTCTCTGTCTCTCTACAGTTATTCTGGACAAGTATCATTGGATGCTGTTCTTCTTGACACCAGCAATGTATCCTCGCTTCTTGATTACACTGGACGAGGAGCTGAACGCGAAGCCCGTCACCGTCCGAGTTGGCCAGGCAAGTCCACCTCTAATGTTATGTGCGCACGCGATCTTGACACGTTTCGCAGGCTCTCGATGTCGTTGGCCAAGCCGGCAAGCCAAGAACGATTTCTGGTTTCCAGACACATCAAACTCCTGTCAGGCTAGCCACCACGGACAGGGCAGAGCTTGCGACGGAAGAGTTCATTCCCTTCAGCCCGGTCCTCGAAGGATTCGTCATTTTGCAGAAAAACCCCGGCTGGGAGACGGAGAATGAGAAGATGGAGATGTAGATCACTTCTGTGAACATGTGAATGGAATGCCAATTTGTTTCTCTGAGCTAGCCTGTGCCCTCAGACTCGGCCCATTGCTGAGTATGACCGAGGTTATGACCACTGGAATCTTACTCACTCGAGACATATTTGCCAGAGTTTTTGACTAAACATAGTCGCCAATGAGACAACTTCACTTTAAATAATCGCCGAAGTCCGAAAACCGAAGGCCTTGCCCAGCCTTGGCTGGCCTGGGCATATAAATAAACGAAATGCATAGCCTCAGGTGTCAATTTTAGGACATGTGCGCGTCCGATCACCGCACACTTCCCCTTGCTCCAAGGCTTCCACCATCTTCTTGTCCTCGAGCACATACCATCTCACGACAAACCACGCTCATTCAACCACTCTACTCATATTGATGCTTAATCTCTTACTCTCGACTCTCGCACTGACGAGAGCTGCCGCCGCCGCCGGCTACCAATGGCCTTCACCGCAATACGATGCTCTGGAGGATTTTCTGTATGAGGGAGGACGCCCGGATGGGTCGAGTCTCGGCGCACTTGTGTCTCCCTGCAGGCTAAGGGGAGCCACGAACACTACTGTAGCAGCGGAGTGGGTCCGTCTGGTGGGTACGAACCGCTACGGAAGTGACTACCGCCCTCATGTGCTGCTGTTTTGCAGGTCTACCACGACGCTGCGACACATCAGATTGCTGACGGGTCCGGCGGCCTCGATGGTTCCATCTTTTTCGAAACCGACCGGACAGAGGTAAGCCGCGCGCGTGCGCACGCGATTTCGTGTAGAAACAAAACTGAACACTGTGCAGAACAACGGCGCGGGCATGAACAACACCTTGAACGATTTTTCTGTTTATCCGAGCAAATACGTCAGCCGTAAGGCTTCCGCCAGGCTCTAACGTTATCTGTCGCTAACGGTCCTCCCAGGCGCGGATGTAATCGTGCTCGGAACTGTCATGGCGGTCGCCACCTGTGGCGGACCGGCTATCCCGATACAGGGTGGACGGATCGACGCAAATGTCGCTGGGCCATACGGTGTCCCCAACATCACCGATTCGCTCGACTCGTTGAAAGGGACATTCGCGCACCAGGGCTTCAATGTGTCTGAGATGATCCAACTCGTCGCGTGTGGACACACGTTGGGCGGTGTGCGGTATCCCGACTTCCCGAACGTTGTGCCTGGCTCTGGCTCGCAGACTGTCGTGCAGCTATTCGATGACACGCAGCGATTCGATCATAGCATGTGCGTGCGGTGTACTGCCAGCCCTTTCCCATTTCTTGCTCAAAGCACTTGTTAGCATCTCGCAATACCTCGACGGCTCGACTCGGGACCCGCTGATTGTTGCAAATGCGTCTGCTGCGTCTGACCTCCTCGTTTTCTCTGCCGACAACAACGTCACGATGCAAAGGTAGAGTTTCGTCATCTGTTGAGGTACATGTGCTGACTCTCTGCAAATAGCATGAACAGCGAGCAAGCGTTCTCGTCGACCTGTTCAACCATCTTCCAAAAGATGTTCCGGACCGTCCCCTCGACAGTCAATCTCACTGACAACATCGATCTCGTGCCGGTCAAAGTGACTGGCGTGCAACTCACCATCGGGAGCCCCGAGCTCCAGTTCCAGGCCAACGTGCGGCTGCAGCTTTCGAGCAACCATACGACGGTGACGATGTACTGGTGCGACCGCTACGGATCGGGCGCGAACTGTGCCTCCAAGTTGAAGCGGTTCACTGCGCCCAGCACGTCTGCCCCGGTGTCTTCGCCTTTCTCGGCCACGATGAACCTCACTCTGCAGAAGTATCAGTTTGTCGTGCCCCTGGCTGCGAACCAGAGCATCTCCAAGTTCTGGTTCGAGATCGACTACGGCAACGGAACGACCACGGTGGCCAACAACAACGGCGCGTTCTACAACATCGACCAAGACGCCGTCCTCTTCGTCCCCAGCCAGAGCCGTCCGAAGGCTGTGCTTTCCGGTTCCAATGGTGTATTTATCGCTGCTGCGGTGAAGAGCACAAACACGCCCTCCCGCGTGTATGTCGACTGGATCGGGCGCGCCACCAAAAACTTCATCGCTGTCAACGGCACGACTGATCTCAAGCTCAACTCGAGCATCCCCTCCGTCGCCGGGTACAACTTCTACACCGCCGAGATCACGGAAGAGTACGGGGCGAGCATGCAGTTCGACGTCATCAGCGTGCAGCAGAACGGGACGTCCCTCGCGGACACGTACAAGTGGGACACGCTGATCGGCCTGAACACCCCCGCCGAGACACAGGTCAACTCGACCACGTCGAGTGCGGCAGGCGGGGCGAGCGGCGCGGTCGCTGTCGCTACTGCGGGGCCATGGACCTGGAGCGTTGCGGCAGCAGCTTTGGCTGTTCTGTCCGCTGCTCTATGATAGAATGGTTTCCATCTTATCTACATCATGTACATCCACGGACTTGCATCACTCACACTGGCATTACCTCAATACCTCTTGCATTCGTCTTTCTGTCAGGTGACCGCGTTTTCCGAGCCAGGGTAGCCCGCGACCTCGTCCACTGGCTAATTCGTAGAGGAACGTTTGTGGATAGATGTCCTGTTCTTCGCCCCCTTTCTCTCTCTCGTTGAATCGAGTCATCGCCGCCCAGCATTTCGTTGGGACTGGGTCACTCTATATCTACATTCTGGACAATGTGAGCGTGTCCATCTGTATCTTTCGTGACAAGCTTCAAACCTACCGGAGTTCCGAGAAAAATAGTATCCTATCAAGTATCAGGCGGCCATAGCACTGACCTCTTTGGCCGGCTTGAATCTGGCCAACCCTGAGTGTCACATTGCGCGGTGAGTGTGATAATTTAAGCAGGGTAAGCCTGCGATATACTTTGCTCGTCCAATAATGCAAAAACCCTGATTTCATTGATCAGACGACGTCGTGCTAGTGATACATACAGAATTGATCGAATTCGTTCATGCTTTCATCTCTCCGAAGATAGCCCACGAGCTCACGGCTTGATGCAGATTTTCAGCGCACCGCGGCTATTCATCTTGTCCAATGCACCCTGGTAGTCCTCCAAGCGGAACGTGTCTGTCACCATCCCAGATACGTTGATTTTCCCGCTGTCCAAGTATGCGACTGCTCGCGGGAAGCAGTACGTCTGCGAGAAGGAGCCAATGATCTGGATCTCGGTCAACGGAGATAACGGAAAACATATGGTTGCACTCGCCTTGATTTCGTCGCCAAAGATCTGCGAACAAGATGCGTCAGATTGGCAAGGTGATATCATAGGTCACGTACCTTTGAAGGCGGCCAGTGCACAAGAGCCTTGTTCTCGTAAACGCCATACACCATGAGCGTACCGCCCCGTCGGACATAGTTGATACTCTCGTTGGCCAACTTCTCCACACCAGTCGCCTCGACGACAACGTCGAAGCCGTACGGGTTGTCCTCACGCAATTTCTTCCACTGGACGGAAACTAAGTCCCAAAGCAGCAAGCGGACGTAAGAGCATCACCGACCTGTGGCTCCGGGTCTTGCCGATCAAGTTCGATGTATTCGTCTGCAGCATTCAACTTCTTCGCGATGTCCATCTTGATACCCTTGTTGGCGGCGATAACAATCTTCGCGGCTCCATTGAGCTTCAGGAGTTGCGCGAGAATGAGCCCAGTCGGGCCGGCACCAAGCAGCAAGACATCGACGCCGACAGGAGGTGACAGCTTGTCGAGACCGTGGATAGCGCATGCGGCTGGTTCAAGCAGGGTCGCTTCCTCGTCGGACAGGTTCTTGATCTTGTACACTTTGTGCTGCTGGTACAGCACGTACTCGGCGAATCCGCCATCCTGCGTCACACCGCACGAAGCGAAGTTCTCGCACAGCAGGGATTGGCCTCGTCGGCAATAGAAGCAGTTATCGCACTAGAACTGGTTCAGCGCGTCACGGATGAGATAGCCTGGGCACTCACGGTGATGCCGACATCGGCCACACAGCGATCGCCAACGGAGAACCCTTTGACGTTCTTGCCCATCTCGACGATGCTTCCCACAGCTTCATGTCCCGGGATAAGCTGCTCCACCAGTTAGCTTACCAGGGCGCTCGCACGAAGATCTACGTACAGGGAACTTGGAGATGAATTCTCCTGAGGAGGCGGTCGGCTATCTTGTTCTGTTATATGGATGCTGGTCACATACCTTCATGAATGTGGCCGTCTAGATCGTGTGAGCGATTGTTTCTGTAAGAAGAGACACAACATACCGGTACCGCAGACACCGCAGCAGCTCACTGAAGAGACGCAAATCAGGATTGTGGGAGTAGGAGGAGAATCAGATTCCAACCTTTGAGCAGGATGTCGTTGTCGCCGACTTGCGGAATAGGAACTTCTTTCACCTCGAAGTCTTTGGGCTGTCGCGCTCGTTAAGATCATGATAGGGATGGATGTATGCAAGCGTGTCGTCCACTCACAGCGTTGTACCAAAGGGCTCTCATGGTTCCTTGAGGCATATTCAGCGATGGTCCTGGAAGTGTGGGGAAGAAGTTCGAAGATGGGCGGGGAAAAGATGGTAACGGGATGCTCGATGGCTCTCCTTAAATAGGGAACTTGTGCCACGTGGATAAGCAACGGTTTTTGACATAAATTGTTCGCCGGTTTCTTGGTAGTAAGGAGAGCTCAAGAGCCATTGTGCCGATGCGTCTCTTCCCTGGATAGAAAGACGCGTTTAGGCACCTAGAATTCTTCTTTCTGGGACTATTATGTACTCTCCGGCGCGCGCCTCAGTGCAAATAATCCCGCCTTGAGCAGGTCGGCCTTGGACGATGATGACGTCGTGCTAACGAAGACCCACAGTGACGTAGTTACCTGTCGTCGGCAGCCGGTGTTATCACCCGCCATCAAGATGCGGTTACTGCTTTGGGAATTACAGGTCGTTTTCTTCAAGCAGTTTTCCCCTTGGCGATCGCACAGCCGGGTGCTCAGCAGAAGTCCTGCATCGCGCTAGTTGTTGGAACACGGGTAGAATGATCCGAAAATTCAGCGAGAAGGTTCTTAAGTTCTAGTTCACGCGTTCGCGGTTGCAGCAATATTGGTCCAATGGAAGAGAATCCGGGTGGACTGCTCGGATCAGCAAGTCCGAAGATAATGAAGTGGAGAGTATGCTCATCGATTACCACCCAAACGTTTTGGCTGGAGCCTGGGAGTGCGATTCCGGTCGAGTACAACAGGAGGTGACCCGATGTCATGGTGTAACGGATCGCGAATTGTCACATCACATGGTAGTGACCGTTTACCACTGCTCAATTCCGGGGTTTAGCTCTGTTGGACTCATCTACCTTGGCGCACGATGGAAAAGCTCTCTGCTGCGTTCAACGCTCTCAAGAAGGCGGCATCCAAGAGCAAATCGGCCTCTATCCAGACTGTTGTCGGACAACTCAGCTCCATTCTAACTCTTCTCGTCAGTACACATCGTCCTGCATACAATAATCCAATTGCCATCCCTGATACCCTCCGCACAGAAACTCTCATCGTCCTCAGACAATGTTCGCAATGCTATTTCGCAGCACTTTGACAAAGACAACATTCAAGACACGTTCTCTGCACACCCAAAGTTAATGCTACAGTTTTGCGCTGCGGTCATCGACGCTGTGTTCGCGGAAAAGATTCGACCAGCAATCCAGAGGAAGAATTTCGAGCTTCAGAACGGATGGGAGATTGTGCAGAAGAGCGTTGTCGATAGTGCTTTCGTAAGTCCAGTCGTACCACCCAGGTCGTATGAACTTTCTTTAACTGGACCAGGATTTTGTCGACGAATACCCTACCAGTGTGTATCCAATGGTTCAAGATCCCATTTCTCTGATCTGATACATCAATGAAGAGGAGAACAAGTCCGCCGCTGCGACGGCTCTCTACCCCAATCTCTGCGACATATTCTACCCCACTTCGGGGGCAAACAAGTGCATTAATCCTAATATCATCTTCAACGTGCGTCGCAAACCGCATATATGCGTTGCATTCCTGACGGTGAAGTCCTAGGTCAACGAATTCTTGCTAGCCACCGCCCTTGATCACGCAGAGAATCAGAGCAACTTGCGGAGCGAAGGGATTCTTGGCACGTGAATAATCTTTCTCCGAGTCCCCAATGGCTATAGATTCAGTTGACAATGTCTGGCAGTAAACGAATCGGTATATCTCTGTCTCAAAGTCGAGGTACTGTCACCTCCTACCCTCGTCTATACAGGCTCCACTCACCATCAACTTCCAGAGTACTTCGAGCTCGATTCTCTGCTGCGACTCATTGGTGTTCTCTTACCTGCACGATCTGCCTCCTCAAAACGTGTCGAATTCGTCAACGCCATCTTCACTCCAGCTCTGTTTCCATGCCACACCCGTATCAAGAGCCTCATCGCTGCATCAGGAACAGAATGGGACCCTGTTGCGACGCAGATTCTGACGCAGTGCTTTGCGAAAACCCACATCTCTTTGTGCGTTTCCAACCCATCATTCGTCGTGGGGAGATGGCGCTGATCGACTGCAGTCCGCAACCCTTCTATATCAAGCAGTTCCACACGACGACAGTGGCGCCCAACATAGTCGATCCACTCTACATCGACAACAAGCGGCTGTTCATGGAGACAGAATCGGTATGTCGCTAACAGCGGCTCTGCTTTCCGCTCTTGATGAGTTCAGGACGACGGGATGCTTGATGTGTACCAAGTCCCCTTTTCGAGTATCGTCGACATAGCCTTGGGCGTTGATGACCCGGACGAATACCTCCCCGTGACAGTACACCTGAACTCGCCGCCGCTGATTGGCTCTGGGAAAGCTCAAGAGGAGAAAAAGAACTGCAAGATCGATTTCCGGCTCAAGAGCTTCGATAAGGAAAGGTTTCTGGATGCGCTGCGAGCGAGGGGGATCGTGAGTCCTTTGTGGTGGACCCTGCAAGTTTCTCTGAATGTCGTGAATCAGGGCAAACTAGTCAAAGACGGCAGTTCAGCTAATGCCGGACGCAAGATCTCCGTCCTATCTGAGGGCCTGAGCTTGGAGTTTGTCACCCCGTCAAGTATACATAAGCCCGCGACACAGGTCCGTCATCATTGGCCCATCGCTAGGATCCCTGGCTGATTGATCTCAAGCAAGAAAAAGTTGCGCAGGTTGAAAAATGTTTGTGTTCGTAGCCATCCCCAATTCTCTCGCTGAGCAAATCGTAGTATGGGAGCAGGGCGAAATGGATTCCAGTCACGGCGAGCCGACATCTCCACTGCTGGGGCGATCTACAAAGGAACCAGCATCGGACACTCATCATGAAGCCATATCTGGTCAAGACTTGTCGGAAATCGAGTCAGACATGGAGAAGAAGTTGAAGTCCAAGGCCGTGTCCCTTACAGACGCTCGACCTAAGTCAAAGCCGGTGTCACAAATTCGGAAAGAGAAAACTGCACGTCCCGCGCTAGACTCGGACGATGGCGATGAGGAGCTCATGGCAGTCGATATCGAAGCCACTCGCAAGTCGCAAAGCAGAGCAATTTCAGGAAAGAAAGCTGTGGCCTTTTCCGACGATGTGGAGGACGAGGACGAGATCAAGAACTTTAGCCAGCCGAGTTCCAGTCTCGAGCTGGGCGTTGCACAGGACGAAGACTTCGTCCCGACACAACCGTCACCGGATCTACCTCCCCCTCCTGTTCGAGTCACTCGAGGGGCGGCCAAGAGACCTCCCGTTGCTGCTGGTACCAAGAAGAACGATCACTTGACATTGTCGGCCGATGAGGACGAGGCAGAAAAGGAAGAGAAGGCTATTGCTGGTGGGTACTCACGGGATGAACTTGATGCGAAGCCATTGACGCGAAGCAGGTAAGAAGAAGAGCACGAATCTTCCTGCGGCAAACAAAGCTATGAACGTGGATTCGACCAAAAACAAATTGAAAGGCAAGAACAACCAGGTCGTCGAAGCAAAACACGGGATCAAACGTGCTGCGGAAGACAGCAACGAGCAAAGTCGATCTATGAAACGTGCGAAGGGCGGAGACTCGGATATCCCACACAGCGGCTCTGCTGCAGTTTTCGGCGTTGGGGTCCTTGCTCCGGCCATGAAGCGGTATGGAGGTAAGAAAGGACGCACGTCTTCGCCTATCCCTGAAGGCGTGGCTGTCGACTTCGACGAACTGCCCGACGTGCCTGTGCCCGCTGCCCCTGTCGCTGTCAAGCAAGAGCCGAAGAAACGCATCGGCGCAACGAAAGGCAAGGGGGGGCCCAAGGTTAAAGCCATGAAGAAGGCCAAAGTGAAAGCGGAACGTACCAAGGTGCGTTCTACTCTTCACGCTCGCGTCAAGAATCAAGCATTCCAGAACGATGCCGATGTGAAGGCAGAGACAGCCGACATGTCGATCCAACCTGTGAAGCCACGCAGCGTGAGGTCTCTTGATCTCGAAGCCGCGTCCTTGCTTAGATTACTCAGCCGAAGCCCAAACCTAAGGCGAAGCACGATAAGCCCCGAAAGGCGCCCTGGGAGGACATGCATCTGCGCGACAGTAGTGACGATATTCCGAGCACAGATGCTGTTGCAGAAGGGGTGCATAGCGATGTTGTTATAGTCGGCGTAACCACAGATCCAGTGGTAGGAGATTTTGATTACGAGATCCCGATCAAGGTGCGCGCTAACAGTTGCCTGACTCTTCCTCTAGACTTCCTTAATTTGTTTCATACAGGGCCTGACTGCCACCGATGAAGACATTGTTATGCTCGAAGATCCACTCAAGACCACTGCAACATCTTCAAGCGCCAAGACTCGTGTTTTTCAAGACGAAACGACACTCGTTTTGCCTGAAGTGCCTCGAGTCACTGCTTCTGTCAACGATCCTGATATCATTCTTGCTGTCTCTGAATTCAAGAACGCTCGGCAACCAACCCTTGATGCTGCTGCTGCTCCCTCAACCGCACCTCGTGAATCCAAACCTATTTCGCTTGCCGCTGTCTCAACCGAGCAATCCCTTGTTTCTCGATCAACCGCAAAACCTGCCAGTCCGCCGAATGTCCAGAAGCTCGAGCATCTCCTTGTTAAGCCGCGTCAAATTCCTCCGCCTCGGGAGCCTTCCGTTAGTGATGACTCATCGCTGCTCAAGTCCAAGTCGAGAACTCCCTCGGTTGTTTCTCCGTCACCTCTCAAGCCGCGTGCGTTTGATCTCGGACAGCGGCGGAAGCTGGAAACCAGTTTTGGTGAGTTCTGTTCAGAAGGAGAAATGAAGCTGATCGCATGATTCAGAACGATTCCCGCTTCAAGTAGAGTCTGCCCCGGCGGCGGTCCGGTCGTCCAAGGAGCGACTCGGATTGTCGAGACGCACTCAAGATCCTATGCAAGGCATCCTCGAGGTGAGAGAAGCCCCTGCTGCTTATGTTCAACCGAGTCTGGATTGCGGGCAGATCCTGCACGAGATGCAAGCAGTCATGGTTGAGAAGATTGCTGCTCGTTTCGAAGGAGTGCGCCGCGATGTTCGGCTCGGACGGGACAATATTTTGGGCACGGCGGCGGAGAACCTGCAACACATGTGCGCTGAAAGGTGTGGACAAACCTCTTGATTGCCTTCTGCATGTCAAATCACCTCGTCTGCGTAGCGAAAAACACTTCAATACCCTCGTTGACCTGGAAGAACAATATGCCAGCCACCATCGGAAGATCATTTCTGGCCTCGATGATCTGCAGCAGAATTCCGAGACGATGGCGGATGCGCTCACTCAGATTGTTCAGCGTCATGACCGGCAGAGTCTGTCCAAGAAACTGGCTGATAAATTGTTTTCTCTCCCTGCAAGTGTGCGCAATCCTGTTCTTGCTCTCTGAAGTAAAATACCGCATCCTGAAATCCTCTGTCGTAAAATCGGAAATAGCAATCGGACAGCTTAGAATGGCAAGCCGCTTTTTGCCGCGGCATGAGTTCATCGATAAAGGAAATGAAAGCTGCCGCTGACTAACCGACTATGCTTTCGAACGTCATAAGGCGGCGATCGTGCCTGCCCAACCCACTTCGATTCTCGCACCGACTCTCAACCATGGCCCAGACAGAGTACCCCCCGTTCGAAACCAAGGGCATGCCCTTCCGCAAGCTCGGCCCCAGTGGCCTCCGTGTCCCCCTTCTCTCGCTCGGCGGATGTGCGTCACCCACCCACTGCCCACTCTGATCCGCTAGCATTTCTCCTCATCTCCTCCGCACGCCAGGGCTCACCATTGGGGGTTCCGTGACGGGAGATCCGGTCAAGGTACGGCGGCCCTTCCGCACTGGCTGGGCTGGGCCATGTATGGCTTGACGTGTGGTGTTGCTTACTTCCCATGGCGCGCCTTGGCAGGAGATCATCCAGACGGCGTTTGAGAATGGCATCAATATGTTCGACACCGCCGAGGTCTACGCCAGGGGCAAATCCGAGCTGGAAATGTGCGTCTCCCCCCCCTCCCCTCCGGGCTTTGGGTTTCTTGTTTCTGGGCTCGCGCGAATCTGAATCATCATCATCACTCGGCAGGGGACGCGTGTTCAAGGAGCTCGGGTACAAGCGGTCTGATCTCATCATCTCCACCAAGCTCTACTGGGGAGCGCGCGGCGGCCCGAACGACAACGGGCTTTCCCGCAAGCAGTACGCGCGTCCCTCCGTCGTTTCTCGGGCTCCCCGCGACTGACGGCTCGGCAGCATCATCGAGGGCATGCAGGAGTCGCTCGCGCGGCTGCAGATGGACTACGTCGACATCGTCTTCGCCCACCGTCCCGACCGCACTGGTGTGTACCCCAGGACCGCCTCACGCGTGTAGCTCGTGTTGAATTGGATCTTGTGCTCAGTTCCGATGGAGGAGACCGTGCGCGCGTTCAACTACGTCATCGAAAAGGGGTGGGCGTTCTACTGGGGTACCTCCGAATGGAGTGCCGGCGAGATCGAGGAGGCTTACCGTGTGCATGATTCGATTCGAGAGTGTCCTGATCCTGAGCTGGTTCTCAGATGTGGCTTCCAAGCTGAATCTCATCGCGCCCATTGCCGAGCAGCTGCAGCACAAGTAGGTTGACTTTGTGACGAGTTTATTGCTGTTGCTTAACGTTGCTAGTATGTTCCACCGTGAGCGTCCGGAGAAGGAATTCGCGTGGGTTGTTCCCCGACTTTTCTCCTTACAAGCCTGTAATGTGATTCAGTGGCCTGTACCGCAAATACCAGTATGGCACCACCATCTGGTCGCCTCTCGCCTCTGGTCTGCTCACTGGCAAAGTGCGTATTCTGCATCCGTATCCCTTGATCTTGGCTCAAACCTTCCCTCAAAGTACAACAACGGCATCCCTCCTGATTCGCGATTCGCTCGCGAGTCCATGTTCCAGAACCGGGTGGACAATCTCCAGAAGAACGAGGGTCTTGCACAGATTGAGAAGGTCAAGCAGCTAACCAAGATCGCCGAAAGTGAATCCATTTGGTTTCCTTTCCTTGCTCTTGATACTGATTTTTATCGTGTCACAGGCTTGGACTCGACGCCGACTGCTCTTGCCCTCGCCTGGCTTGCCAAGAACCCAAACACGTCCACCATCATCCTCGGAGTCACCTCCGTTCCCCAACTCATGCAGAACTTGGAGGCGCTCAAGCTTCTCCCGAAGCTGACTGAGAAGCACCTGGATGAGATTGAGGAGATTCTCCAGAACCAGCCCGAGGCTAACGTTCGTACCAGATTCGTCCCTCTCCTGCTTTCGCTGACGAGATATGTTCTTGACAGCCTCCCTACGGACGGGCTCCTCTAGACCCCAACGGTCGCCCTTTCCTCGATGTCTACAGGCGGTAAACGTCGAACAGTCTAGATAGAGCTCTTGTGGCTAGAATTAGAAATGATCGTCCATTCACCTTCCTTAAGAGGCATATCAGTTTCCATTTCGGGATGACGTGATTCTAAGTCACTTGCGCTGAACGAGCATGACGCCGACATGAAGACACTCGCAGACGTCATTCCGTGCCCACCATATAACACATGATCACCTTGCATCGAGCATGCCACTATGTCGGGCCCAGGTGTCCATGCACGAAACATCCACCCTACCACCGACCACTTCTACGCCGGCGGCTCAGCCACGACGCTCGGCCTGATCCGACACGCGGTCCTGCCCTCCTTCGCATTCCACGCAGGCCTCAACACCCTCGCATACGGCGTTGCGCGCTACACGGATCGCGCGGACGCCAAGGACTGGGTGTGGATGACGGGCCAGGTCGCCAACGCCTGGTGGAGCGCGCTCGGGCGCCGCGTCGTGCTGCAGGGCGTGTCCGTCTCCGCCGCCTGGGCCGCGCTCAGCTACCCGCTGCGCCTGCTGCTGGTCGGCGCCAGCGCGTGGGGCGCGCGGCTCGCGTACCACGTCGTGTCGCGCAGCATCGCGCGCGGGGCGGACGACCCGCGCTACGTCGACGGCCCGGGGCCGCGCAAGGCACCCGGGTTCTGGAACGCCGCGCTGTTCACGCTGTTCCTGCTCGAGGCGCTCGCGCAGACGCTCGTCTCGCTCCCGCTCGTGCTGCCGTTCCGCGGCCCGCAGGCGGCGGTGGTGCTCGGCACGCCGGCCGGCAGCGTGGGGTATTTCCGCGCGCTCGCGGTGTTCCTGTTCTCCGCGGGACTCGCGTTCGAGACGCTGGCGGACGCGCAGCTCGCGGCGCACCAGGACCAGCAACCCGGATACGGGAGGTCGCAGCTGTGTCGCGGGGGCGTGTGGAGCATCGTCCGGCACCCGAACTATCTCGGCGATGCGCTGTGCCACTTGTCGTTCCCCGTCCTGCTGTACAGCGCGCGGCTGCTGAGCCCGCTCGCGGTGCTGGGTCCGCTGGCCAACTACGCGTTCCTCCGGCTCGTGGGTGGGGACCGCCAGAGCGAGGCATACGCGGAAAAATACGCGACGGAGAACCCGGTCAGATACAGACAGCTGCAGAAGTACAAGGCCGAGAAGAACAGCTTCTGGCCGAGGATAGGCGAGTGGAGGAACACCTGGTTGTGGGCCGTCATAGGCCTTGGGGCGTTGGGGGTCGGATTGGAGAGACTGGCCGCAAAAATGCTCCAGTGACTGTGTCATAAACGCGCTGAATTGTACTATTATGAATACACTCCATCTAATCGCGTTGAACGGTCTATAAAATCAGAACAAGGCCTGCAGCGTATACGCGATCAGGCCTGTCATAGCAGGGAGCATCAGAGCATATTGCGGGATGAGGAACGCAGAAAGGGGCTCCGCACTGCCCGTGCCGCTGGCCACCTGCGTGACAAATACTTGCGTCGTAGCCGTGGGCAGACAGGAGAAAAATCTGGAATACACAGAGAGACAGAGAGTGTCGTCAGCAGACCATTACACACTGGACCGATCAGGAACGCCACCACGCACATGCACACAAACTGCAGCACCTTGTCGCTGGCCGAGATGACGCCGACGCGCGTCAGTCCGTTGCAGATGAGCACGCCCAGCACCGGCGACAGCAGCATCTTGCAGAACGCGAGCGCGAGGATCGCGCCGCTCGGGAGCGTCTTCCACGCCCCCGCCGGGATCCGCAGCCGCGCCAAGGCGGCCCCGAGGCTCACCAGGCCGATCGGAACGGACGCCGCGCCGATGAAGGTGGCGGCGTCGAGGATGAACGCCAGCGGCGGCTGGTCGTCGGGTGCGTTGGGGATGTGGGTTCCCGGGACGTTGGGCACGAACAGCGCTTTGAGGTCGGGCACCAGTGCGATGATGAACGAAATGATAATCGCGGCCGAGCCTGGCATCAGCAGATTTTTGATGAACTGCCGCAGATGCGGTTTGTGCTTGGTGTAGAACGAAGGAGGGCTGGGCCGTCCTTTCGGGGCGTCTTGTCGCTCGTGGATGGTTGGCAGGACATCCGTGTCGACTGCCGTGACGGTGGGCGCCGGGGAAGCCATCGTCGAGGCCAGGGCCATCATATTGTGCTCCGAATGGGGGCGAGGCTGCTCGCTCTCGAACGAAACGTGCTTTGACAAGGTCATCGGGGTGTCATGAGGCGCGATCCCATCTTCGACCGAGGGCTTCTTCTCCTCTACTAGGTCGTCAGATTCGTGAATTGAACGCCGGCGGCGCAGAGATCTGGGCAGACAATGCACGACGCCAGAGAAAATGGCGCGGCGTCGCAGGCGCACTTGCTCCCGGATCTCGTCGTCTTCGACGTCGGGCCCGATGTAGTCGAGCCCGACCATACTGCTCCCGCCCATCGGGAAAAACGTGATCTGCCGTCCTCACTCAGCGTGACCGTCCCCTCGCGCGCAGAGGAGCCGGACGTACCATGTAGACCAAAATGAACCCGGAGATGTACGCGACGCTGAGCGTCTGATCGCCCGCGCCTTTGAACGGGGCGGCGCCCGTGATGCTCATAACGACCGCCGTCGCTGCGAAATCCAGGTTGGCGCATGCCGTAAAAACCAGCAGCGAGGAGGGCTACGCACGGATGTCTCCGTAGTTCCCCCAGCCGCCTGCGACGAGGATGCCCCACCGGAAGCGATGGGGCACCCAGAAAAAGTACCGGATGATCCAGGCCATGACCATGCCCATCGACTCGTAGATCACGGCGACTAGCACCAGGGGACCTGATGACGGAGATTAGATGTCAATACGGAGCCCCGTCGGCGGTTCGAGACACACACCCAGAGCGTTGATGTTACTCGAAGTGAACGCGGGAACGATCTTGGAGAACATGAGGCTCGGGAGTGTGATGTTCTGCCATGCGACGTCAGCCAACGCCGTCCTATCCCATCCCAGCCCAGGGCTGCCACAGCCCGCAAAAACGCACCAGCAGGATTTGCCCGACTCCGCGAGCGGCCACGGCCGGGAAAATGTCCGCTTTCGTGATGGCGAAGCCGCAGCTGACGGTGATGATCCTAGCGCAGGGAGGGGACGAGGAGGAGCCCCAGTTAGTGCTCCAGCATCGGGTATAAGCCAGGAATAGGATTCACAGCCTGAGCAGCGGCCGGAGGGATATCCAGATCAGTCGCCCTGCAGCGACCATGGTGTGCGTGCGGTGCGGTGCGGGGAGGAGGAAGGGAGAGGAGGAGAGGAGGAGAGGAGAGGGGGAGAATACTCTACAACAGAAGAAGTTCTGCCAAAAAACACAGATTGTTTTGAGGCTTTTCGGATCTAGTCCCTCGGCTATCCGCGGCCGGCCATGCGCGTTTCACACACAGAGATTCTCAGCCCAGATTGGCGAAAGAGGCTCGCATCTTACGAACAGAAGTAAGGCATGCCTCATGCGTAATGTACGTTGGCGGCTTCCGTGTTCTCTGCAGGGAGCAGCAGCAGCAGCACTCATGCGGAGAAGCAGAAAAGAACGTGAGCTGGGTAGCTGCAGGTCACTTGCAGAACTGGGAACATCATGAGTCATGTTTTTCAGGGATCAGGATACCGGCCTGGAAAGGAAGTTGATCGGACCGGGCTTCCGATTATTGACCCGGACCGGCATCGGACCGTCGAATTAGGGTCTCCTATCCGACAAGGTTGGAGTCAGTCAAGGACGGTGTGATAAGTACTTGAATTCGATTCAGTTTACATGATAAGATAGATGCAGATATCCTGCTTCCTCAAGCGGTCCGTATCTACTCCGCCCGGGAAATTGAAAAGTTGACGAGTAGCGTGGCACCCGAGTTTTTGCCCTTCGAATCGAACATACGCACGAGACGCAATCCCTGAGCCGTCAATGAGCCTGTGTTGAATAATCAAAGTAAGAATAACCATTACCTGTTGCAATTGGTCCAACCGCGCACAGAAAACAACAATCTTGTCGTCGCGCCCAAACTCACTTTGGAATACAGTGAGGCTGGATCGCACGAGCATGAGAAGAAGCGCGACGAGATCGGACGAAACAAACGGACCGCAGGAAAGCCAATTCATCGGCGTCGTATTCCATCTCGAACCGCTCGTTCCACATGATATCCGCCCCGGAGCCAGGGACATCCTCGGTCTTGACGGTCTTGCTTTGCCATTTCTGGTCTTGCTGCGAGTGGAGCAGTTCGGCGTACACATAGGCGGAGTAGGACTTGTCCTGGCGTTTGTTCGGAGGGGGCACTGACGGGGTTTGAGCGCACGGTTTACCATGGCAGCATTGAGCACCCACGAGAGCTGATCCCAACAATCTCCGCAGACAGCCTGTAGCGGCCGCCATCGACCGTTTCGAAACCCCTCAGGCGAGAGGGCTTGACGACCCAGCCGGGAGTTCCAACGAACATGGCTTCGTTGAGCTGCATCCCGCTGTCGTAAGTCTGCCAGTTCAGAGAGGCGATGTTGGCGCCTGTGCGCCAGAACTTGAGAGGGTCCATATTGCCCGACGCGATCCGCGTGCCCTTGGGGAAAATCCTGCGCATGTGCACTAGACTGTGCTCGACGAGTTCGGCGGCAGAGTGCGGAATCAGCTTCCCGCACGTCGACTCGGATATGTTGATCAGGACGTGGAGGGGGTCTTCGATGACTGGGCCGACACATTAGCGGACTGGCGGCATGAAGGCGGATGACATACACTCTGTGAGCCAGCCCGTGGAGGGCTTCATGCTGCGAGCATAGAACCCGAGACCCGCCAGTTCAGCAGAAATTTTCTCTTTCTCGACTTTGCCTATCTTGATGATCATCTCCCCGTCTTCTTCTACTGCTTCATCGGCCTCAGAATTGGGGCCCGAATCAGCCTCCTCCTCGGCAGTAGCACCGGTGCCTTGCATCGGAGCGGCGTAGTATTCTACCTAAAACGCGAGAGAACCATCAGTCTGGGCGCTAGCAACACCAGAACACGACCAGCCCACCATAAGTAGGATGCGGCCCATGAAATCCTTGGGCGCCGCCGCCGAGTCCTCAACATGCTCGAGCTTCCTATCAACGAGTTTGCGCCCCCACGTCTTCCTCATCGTGTGCACGAGCTCCTCCTGGCCCTTGGGATCGACATGGCACTC